CCAAGTTGAGAAGAAATGCGACAATAATAACGACGAGAAAGAGAGAGACACACTGATAATAGGATAAGCGGCCGGAAGAAACGAGAAAGAAAAGCGGCGAGAGTTAGGGTTCTTCGTTGGTTTCAGAGAGAAAAAAACAGTTTTTTTTTTGTTTGTGAATAGTGACGAAAATCTTCAGTTTATTCCTCTTTTATCATTAAAGACAGAATAATGATGTGGCAATTTCAGGTATGACGTGGCATGTCGAATCTGACGTGGCAATTTTTAAGTGAAAACAGAATAAGGGTGTTTATTGTAATTACACCCATTTCACTAAACATTTAAGGAATAAAAAAAAAATTTGGATGTTTAGGGAATAAACATACAATTGTATTCTATATAAGTAATTCTCCGTTTTTTTCTTCTGTACAATACAAAGAAGAAACTTCCATTACCAAAGTTGTATAGTTCCTGAAATAATGGCTTATACCAAACACAACAAAAGTATGACTTTAACGTATTTATAAATCATGAATCTTGCAAAATTTTTAACGCATGTGTTCATCTACATATATATCTACTTTTTAAGTGAACTATCCTATACTCATGCTTGCTTGGTCACATAGTATATGAATTTTAATTTTTCCCCAAAATTGATATGACATTAGATTTCTAGGTTTTTTGAACTCGAGTTTAAATGATGTATGTAGAACAGACTGGAAAAAGTTCGACATGAACCATTTAAACTCGAGTTTGTTCATAACCGGTTCATAATATATTGGACATGGACACTACACAATAAACACATATATCTAATTTTATAGTGATAAATTAAATTAGAAACTACACAATGTAATTGCATGCTCGTTTGGTCATATTTAAATGATCTGCATACTATAAATAAATATAGCTTATCTAATCCATCTAAGAAGAGAAAGTATTTTATTTGAGATTTGATTTACCAAACCCCCAGAAACAACGCATTACCACAAGGCAGACACTTCACGGATATTGTGCTCCAATGATCACATAAATCTCAGTAACATTTGTTCCCTTAATTTAGAATGTTTGAACAATTGTCTTTTAACCAGAAATACAAACTCTATTCTATAACAAATGTTACATTAGCAACATACTTGTTACATATGGTACGTATTGGCTTCGTCGCTAGCTAAAAGCCTAGAAGTAGATTTTTTCGTATCAAAAAGAAACGGCGACATAGATTTTGTCTAGCAAATTAGTTAATAAAAATACCAAAAACCCGTAGAAAAAAAAAAAACATTAGTCAAACAAATTATACACTAAAGAAAGCCAAGTGTTACATCCGAAGAAAAAATCACTATTGTATTCAATCAAATTATCATCAAACTTCCACGGAAACTGTATATAAATACCAAGTCCTAACCTCAAGCTTTGGTAGTCTAAGAGAAGAGATAAGGCAAACCTAATCAGAGAGATAAGAGAGGAGGAACTTAGCTAAATCAGAGATAGAGAGATGGGGAGGTCGCCTTGTTGCGATGAGAATGGTCTAAAGAAAGGGCCATGGACACCTGAAGAAGATCAAAAGCTTGTTGATTACATTCATAAACATGGCCATGGAAGCTGGAGAGCCCTCCCTAAGCTCGCAGGTTTCTACCTTCCCCGGCCCGAGTCTCTTAACTCGAACCGCCATTTTTATATAAATTCGTGTATATGTTTTTAAACCTTTTCTTATATCTTTTGTAGATTTGAATAGGTGTGGCAAGAGTTGTAGACTGAGGTGGACAAATTATCTAAGGCCAGATATTAAAAGAGGAAAGTTTTCAGCGGAAGAAGAGCAAACAATCCTCCATCTCCATTCCATTCTTGGAAATAAGTTAGTGATTTTTTTTTCAACATTTATTCTTATAAAAGTTTTTGTATGTAAACTTGAATGACTAATTGTTTTTGTTATCATGTCTAGATGGTCTGCTATTGCGACGCATTTGCAAGGACGTACTGATAATGAGATCAAGAACTTTTGGAACACACATCTAAAGAAGAAACTGATCCAAATGGGAATCGATCCCGTGACTCATCAGCCAAGAACCGATCTTTTCGCAAGCTTACCTCAGCTCATAGCCTTAGCAAACTTAAAAGACCTCATTGAACAAACATCACAATTCTCATCCATTCATGCTGAAGCTGCTCAACTAGCTAAGCTACAATATCTCCAATACATGCTTAATTCTTCTGGTGCATTGACCAACACCAATGGTAACAACAATAGCCCAAGTAGTATTCTCGATATTGATCAGAACCATGCCATGGACCTCTTAAACTCCATGGTCTCTTGGAACAAAGATCAAAACCCGGGTTTTGATCCAACTCTTGAGCTCGAGGATAACAATCAAAACCAAGGTTTATTTCCACTTGGTTCTATCATTGATGCTCCAACCACCCAACCACTCCAACAAGAAGAATACCATTTAAACAATAGTCCTCCTAGTGAGCTACCATCACAAGGTGACCCACTTCTTGATCATGTCCCTTTCAATCTCCAAACACCTTTGAATAGTGAGGATCACTTTATAGATAACTTGGTCAAACATCCAATAGATCACCATGAGCATCATGAGCATGAACATGATGATCCATCTACATGGGTTCTCCCTTCTCTTATAGACCACAACCCTAAAAATCTCACGCCTTCTTCTCTTCCACACAACAATCCAGAGGACGCAAGTAGCAGCTCAAGCTATGGAGGTTGTGACGCTGCCTCTTTTTATTGGCCTGACTTTTGCTTCGACGAAACCCTCATGAACGATATTTCTTAGTTACTCTTTATTTAGTCCCTTTTTTTTTCTTCTTCTAAATTTCTGTTATTAGGTCTCTAATCACAATCTATACCGACATTGTACTCGAGTTACGTTTCGTTTTGGTGTTTTGTAAGTAGAAGGTGTGGTTCGTTTATCATCTTACGTTTTAAGTTTTATGTAATTAGACACGAGTCACGACATATATACTAGAACCTATGGGTGTACGAAGTTTTAAATATAGAATGTTTCATTACATATATAGAAATGGTTTGATGCATACACTTATCTGTGATTTTTTTGTTCTTCCATATATCATCAACATTGAGAGAGAGGTTTTTGCATGCTTTCTAGAATAATAACTAATTAATTAATACTGCACAACCACTTTGAATGGGCCATCGAGTTTCCTGTGTGGCTTGGGTGGTTAGCCAATATTTTTCCTGCTTGTCTTTCAAGATTTTGACTCCAAATTCTTAATTCTTGGGTGTAATATGAAAATAAGAATGGGGTAAATTTTTGTGACATAGAAGAAGGTTTATGTCTAAAAGTTATAAAAAAATGTGTAACAAAAAAAAAGAAGAAGACAAAATACATATTAGGTAAAAACAATATTTCTTCGAATAAACCGAAGAAAATGGTTCACCTTTATAATGGTCTACATGCACAAGATTGGTTAAATGAGATCCACTACAACTTTATAACATAAATGTTTAAAAAATCCATGAAAATGATAAACTTAAAACAAATAAAAAATGTGAACTAATGAACGAAACAGTCATTAAGAATGTTTTTTTACACTTTAACCCAACTAATAAACTACCCATCCATGATTAAGCAAAACATCACAACATGTATAAAGAAATGCATAATCACTGTAGCGCGGGGGAATGTTTTCGGGTATATTTTAGTATCGACAATTATTATACCGAAATATATATTTGGTTTCAATTATTTGGAAAAATGTGTATTCAGAAATGAAATATAATATTTAAAAACAAATAAAATAACATATATAAAAAATTACATACTCACAATATATATTGTGACGATCCAACCCGCAAAGACCCGTGTATTTTTGTTAAGAATCATGAAAATGAGTAATTATTTGAAAAAGAAAAGTATAATTAAATAAATATAATTGAATCATGACATAAAATGAGTATAACTGAAAAATGAAAAATTTTAAAACTCTATAATATAGGAGTATAATTAGTTTTTAAATTTGAAATAAAAGTTACCTTTGAAAAAAAGAAAATCTGGACACTTAATCAAAATCATATATCTAATGATAAGAATTAGGACTAACTAATCTTTTGCTGCATATTTTGTACTTAAGTTTATTGGAGATGACGTTGTTGATCTTTTATTAGTAATCTTTTTCCAAAGGTATCAAAATTGCAAGCCGCAAAATAGAAAAATAAAATTAGGGAACAGTTATTTGTTTAAAAAGAAAACTAAATATGAAATGTAAATATAATAAGAAAAATATCGTAAGAGAACAATATACTTTTATGGAAACTGTGTATCAATGGTTGAAAGAGTCATCTTTATATAGATGTATGAAAAGTACTCAAGAAGTTTAGGTTTGGCCAAATAATTCTAAATAGGTTTGGAAATAATTACAAATTAGATATTTAATTTTTTATATATTAGATTTTTGGATATTTCCTAAACTAATTGTCGAGTTCAAATTTACGATTGATAAAGTCTAATTATTGATATATTTAGTCTTTTTTAGAAGTCAGTTTTCTAAAAAATTTCTTTAATAAAAAGATATTTCACAATCTTTTTTTTTGCTAGATTTTGTTTTTCCATATAAGACTAACTTTATATATTTAATCTGATATTGTAAAATGAAAATTACGTAATTATTATTAGAATATTTTATACATATTTAAAAAATACAACTTGTTTTAAGGAATATTTTTTTAAAAAAACAAAGAATGAGATGTATTTTTTAAAAGTTAAATTTTCAGTTACCATATATAATGTTAAATTTGTTGTTATTAAATTGGTTTTAGAAATTGTTGTATGTGCATTTTTTTTTGTTATATCAATAATTTTTCTTTTATAAAACAATAAATTCGTTTTTTATAATATTAGATATTAATCTCTCATTTTCTTAATAACCCACATAATTAATGATTGTTAAAATCTGTACGGTTATGGAAGCGTTAATATAGAAAAAATTGCCACTATAATCGGCTATTTATTAAGATGTTTAATTTGAAATAATTTTTTATACATAATTGTTTTAAATCTTTACCATTATAATTTTGTAGTTAGATCATTTTTGGATAGTATTTAATCAGATTTTGAAATGATTAATAATCAAATCACAAAGATTGCGTAGTAACTAATTAAAATATTTGTAAAAGATTGATATCTTTGATATTTACGGAGTTGTATAGTTATTAGGATTATTTTTTCATATACTATTTTCATTTATTATAAGTTTCCTTGATAAGTTATTATCATTAATTTTCCTAAATTAAAGGGATTGAAAATCTCGCATTACAAACTTATTAATGTCGAAACATATGATTAACGGGTCATACCCATGTCCAAAAAATTAATCCAACTTGAAACTATCCATTTAAGTCTAATCGGGTAATTTTCTTAATTTTGCAAAATAACCCGACCCATATTGTTTTTGTACTCCTCTTTTACTAATATAGAGATATATTGAAATATAGTGAGACATAATTTTTCCATTGAAAGCAAGAGCAAAACGCAACTAAATTTAAGTTTTTTGGGTCAAAATTATAAGTTGCAAGTGTTTAATTAAATGTATGTAATATTAAAGGATCGAATCGTACAGATGAAGTCACACAAACGAATTTGAATGAACGAAACCTAGCTAGAACTAAAATAATAAGGCTATTGTTTATGGTATGCAAATGTAAAAATAAAACGAAATAGAAGCGAGGTGAATTCAGATATTGAAAACATTGGGCATAAGAGATTTTATCTATGGATTATGGCTCTAAATTTTTTTAAGCAATCATCAATTAGTTTTCATAGATGGATTCTAAAAATTGGAGAAGAGAAAGACATATTTATTAAGAAGTATAGAAAGACCAAGCATAGAAAAAAATTCACTTTTAAGTGAAATTAAGGTCTTTTGTTGCAAGAACAATTGGCATCAAGAGAAAGATACATACAAAAAGCTTCAGTTAACCGAGTGTTTGGTCATAGTGGTAATGGTGGTCTGTTAAGAGTACTTCTGCTAGAGCAACACTTGAAATTTGCTTACAATTAAACTATATCATATAATAAAAGTTAAATTAATCAAATTAATCCACTGATTTTTTTTGAAAAAATCATCCTTCCACTAGTGAACCAAAATCAAAGGTACTTAATCATTAAATTAATATTCTTAAACAAATTTTTATTGTATATCAAATCTTAATAAGCTATTATATAATCCAAAATAATAAAACAAGTATTTAAATTACTTGTATCACACTAAAAAGAAACAAAAATATTTTACATAATTCAGAAATTTCAAACATAGTATACAAAATAGAATGAGCAAAAATATATGGGGAAAAGAAGAGAATGAGCAAAAAAAATTAATTTTTCTTTTTACTAGCCATCCAACTAGAAATTGACACGTAGCGTGTCTTATGGTTGCTTCAACTGCTTATTTTAGAAAGCTCATTCTATTAAAAATGGGCCATCTTTTGAGTTTTTGGTTTTATTTATGGCCCACAAAACTATTAAGCATCCCTCTAAGTAACGCCACTAGAGGTAGTCTTAGTGTAATTTAGGTAATAAAATGAATTAAATTAAATATTAAATATTGATTATTGGTAAGGATGTTATTTTTTTTTGGTCAAGATGTTCTCTTATTTAAGAGCCAAAAATTGAGTTAAGAGAAGAAGAAGAAAAGAAAAAGGAAACACTTATTGTGCTTTATGTTATTTATGTTATAAATTGTATCTCACGAATATTTTTAAAATTTTAATTTGCAATAATTATTAAGTTTTCTAAAATTAAAAATGTTAATTTAATTTCATTTTTAAATTAAGATTTTTTCTTAAGAATTGTATAAGTTAAGAGCCTACCATTAAAAACACTTAAAAACTAAAAACAAAAATACAATCTCTTAACTCTAAATTTTACAATTTTAGTACTAAAATATTGTTAAGAACAAAACTTAAGAATTCTGTAATAATGTTGTTATAAGGAACAATGTCCAAAGGGATGCTTAGTTAGAGTATCTCTATTAATTATATGCTGAGTGGAGTGTCTTTATAATTTCTTAAAATTAAATAATTACATTTTGAATCATCAAAAATCTCTGAACTGATGAAATAGTTACAAATGACACCATAGTATAATTTTATTTATCTTTACTTATTTTTCTTATTTTTTATTATTTTTATTGCTATTTTATTATAAAAATACATTAAGAATGTGATCTTACTGATGGTAGGATTGTAGCCGTAAAGATAAGCTCGAAGAGTTCATAAACGAAGTTTACTTAATCTCATTAATCAACCATTACAATATTGTGATTCGTGTTGGTTGTTTTAATTGTGTGTATAGCTTAGTAAATGAGAGGACCGCCTCACTGAGTATTTGTGATAATAATCACGCATATCTTTTCTTGTGATTCATGTAAAGAGAAAGTGTGGTCGTGGAATTATGACGACGACGAGAAAAATGATCTAGAGTCATTCATTGTTATTATTGTAGGAACGTTGGTTAGACGAAGCATGTTAAGATTTACTGGATATTACATTGGTTGATGATTATTGTTGAACTTGGTTATTGATTTCATTGGAGTTGGTGTTTATGTTACACTTGCTGTCTATTGCTTTTAATTTAGGTTGCTAATAAATATGAGATTAATAGTTAATTAAAAATTGTGTTGGTGTTTATGTTATTACTGATGGTTGACTATTACTTTTAATTTAGGTTGCTTGATTAATAACTATGAAGTTATTAGTTAATATATATATATATATATATTTTTAAATGTGTTGGGCTATTTCACTTTCATTTGGCGGTTGCATCTCTGATTTATCATAAAGATATTAAGGGGTTGGTTGGTAACGACTGTCACTTTTGGTTGTAGAGACATTAACTTAAAAATTTTAGTTGTAAAGAATTTGGTTGTAGATGCGTTGACTATATAAAATTTAACTATTAGATGCTTTGACTATATAAACTTTAACTATTAAAATCTGATTGATAACAAACAACTTTTAAAGCTATAGGTGTTACTTTAATTATTATTATTATATTTAAGCAATAAATATAAATTATGTTAGAATGAATTTTTTTTTTGTCAACGTTAGAATGAATTCATATAGCAAGTTAATGACAATTTTTTTTAATTAATGATAAAATATATTCTTAAAAATTTGAGTCAATCCATTATGTTTTGGATGTAGTCTCTTTATATGAAGTTTGAACATAGATTTCATAATCTCTGTTCCGCTTTATGTTAAATAGGTAAACAAGTTTACACCCCGTTGGCACTGTTGAGCTAATCAATATATTTTCTAGACAAAAAAAGATTTCATAAACTATTTTACATCATAATTAACGATGATGATAAATATAAAAATATTATTATTGAAATAGATCTTAAAAGAAAATGAAAAAATGAGAATAATTGAAAGGGAAACAATAAAGCTCTTAGATTTGTTTAATTTTAAAACCGTGTTTAGGAAATTTGAAAAAAGGGAAAACAAAGAAGAAGATAAAAAAAGTCTAATTCGTAAATAAAAGGCTTTGAAGGCTTCAAATATTCATATAGCCTTAAAACTCATGTAAAAATAAAAGGCTTTGAAGCTTCAAGTATCAATAAATCTTCAAATATATTGTTAGATGAGAATTACCTAGTAAGGTTTCAGATTTTGGAACTTTACCGTCAATAAGTGTCGATCAAAGTCAACTGACAATTGTAGTTATATGCACTACAATAGATGTTTCTGAGTTATGCTTCTTGAGTTGATCACTAGAGAAAAACCAGTTTCTGTCCAACGGCTGGGGAAAGAGACATTATCTACACATACATAAATGTTTGTTTTGTGATTATGATGACTATACTTTATAATGTTTGGATATTTTCTTCCACATAATTTTTCTATCAATCATTTTCAGATTCAAAAACTGAAATAGATATAATTTTATAAAAGAATTAATTTGGCGAATAAAGTTTCTGTGAATAATTCCATATGAATTAACAAATTATATATAAGATTTTTATCAAAATATATTGTATGTATCTTTTAAAATATCTCTATGTTGGAGGGTTATTTTTAGTTTTTTTCTTTTAGTTAATATAAATATAATTTAAATAAATCATAATTATATTATTTGAAATCATAATTTAATAAAACAAATGTGTGTATCTCTTTTGTAAAGATGCCTGAAAAAATATTTAAATAAATAAAGTTCAGAAAAAGTTCGAATACAAATTCTTATTTGAGTTTAAGTTGAAGCTTTATTTATTTCTAACAGTCGGTTAGGTTAAATCAAGAGAACTGAGAGTTGCGGGTTTGGTTTTCAACATCTTGGATTTGAAGTGGTTAAATGATGGATGAAAGCAATTGAGACTAAAGTTAACTTCCACCTTTTTTACTTGTAGGTGATTGTTCTTTGATTAGATCATTATATATATATATATATATATATATATATATAAACAATAAAAGCCTCCATCGTTAAGAACCCAACAGATTTTTTAATATACTTATGTAAGTTTTTTTTTCTTTCTCAAATGTCAGATTGCCTCATCTAATTTCTAGAGCATTTTTTTTTTATATATTGTTGACAAAATGTATAAGCAAATTGTTGATCCAGTTGAGTTCAAAATGCCGTTTTCTGGAAATAATTGATTTGAAGGAAACTATAAAATTAAAAAAGTAAAACTTTTATTAGTACATACAACCATTTTTGGATTCAAACATGTACATACTATGACATTGTCATCTGGATTAGTGGAACAAAAGAAAATTATTACGAGACATGATGAGAAGTTAATTTTAATGATGTGTCATCTCGTGGTTTCACAAAAAGATGATGTCTCAACACGGAAGAAAATAACTTTTACGGCTGCAAATGTATTGTATTGATATTTATCTTACCATTTAATTTTGAGATTATTGTATTCTTCTAGGGAAGACATAGTGAAGACAAATCCATTACTCAAGTTATTTATCTTGTGATGAAAAATTGAAACAGAAAAAGAATTCCATAAACTTTTATCTGATTTCTTTTTAAACATACAGTTATTTTTCGTGTATTTGGAAAAATACACAAACTATATTTACTTTGATAATCAAAATTTAAACCACATATATATATATTTTTTGTCAACCACACATTCAATAATAAATCAATTCAATCAGATTGAAAGCCAATCAGGAGGATTAAACCATATATTTAGATTACAATAAATAAAATAAAAAAATAGAAAAACAAATTCCTACCTAATTTTCGATTTTGTAGACATAATTGAGATGTGGAGATTTTTAGATTCATGAGAAAATACTTTCTAAAAAAAATTTATGAATGTCATTTTTAAATTTTAATTTATAAAAAAATTAAAAAGAATAATACGATTAGATTTTATTTTTAAATATAAAATGGGTAGAAAAAGAAAACAAACAGAGGAAAAAGCCAGAGCGACTCTACTTTTAAGACACGGCAAAGAAGTCAACCAACGAAACCCAATAAACATGGACAGAGACGATTTTGTCTTTTTATTTTTTTCTTTAATGGAGAAACCAAAGAAAAAACCAAAACAGCGAAAAATTGAAGTCTACTCTCGTCGTCGTCTTCCACTAATTTTGTAGGTTTGGTCTAAAGAGAAGACTTTTGAAAGCAAAATTACATTTTACATTTGCAGACTCTTGTCTGCTCCAATAACCCTTTCCTCACGGTATTGCTCCCCAAAACCGCGTGTACTGCTTTTGACTCCCAAAATCTCATCTTTTTGGAATCTGGGTTCTTCAATTTTGAGGTAATCATCGTCTCTGTTCTTTCTGATTTCGTCTTGATTTATGAAAAATAGATTCAAGGGTAGTTTTTGTTGTTTGCAGGTTCTTGAAAGGTCTTGGCTTTTTATATAAAATCAGACATCTCTCATGGCTAAGTTCTGTTGCTTCGGTTCTTCAGACTACGATGTAATAAAAACTTCAAATCTTGTCTTTTTCTTGTCTTGTTTCTAATTTCTCCACTATTATGACTTGTGAAAGCATTGACTTTGTTTAGTTTTGGTTCTTCTTAATGTGGTTTTAGATAGAAATTGAAATGGGTCATTGTGTAAGGCTTTGTTTGATGTTCTTGAACAATTTGGGAAGATATGAATTTGACTTTTGTTTTGGTTGTGTAGCTTGTAGTTGGAAGAGCGTCAACTAGTTCTGGAAAGGGAAGAAACAGTCAAGGAGAGATCAAATTTGGTTACAGTTTAGTGAAAGGGAAAGCTAATCATCCAATGGAAGATTACCATGTGTCCAAATTCATGAAAGTAGATGGTAGCGAGCTTGGTTTGTTTGCAATCTATGATGGTCATTTGGGTGAACGTGTTCCTGCTTATCTACAAAAGCATTTGTTCTCCAATATTCTTAAAGAGGTCTTTGCAGCAATTTGTTCTACGGCTTTCTTTGGCTTGTGTTACTGTTTCTAACAATTTCTTTAATGATCTATAACAGGAGCAGTTTAGGTATGATCCTCATAGTTCAATAGTTGCTGCTTATGAGAAGACAGACCAAGCCATTCTGTCGCATACTTCTGATTTAGGCCGTGGTGGATCAACGGCTGTAACCGCTATTTTAATGAATGGGAGACATTTGTGGGTGGCTAATGTGGGTGATTCCCGGGCGGTTTTGTCTCGAGGAGGTCAGGCGATACAGATGACTATTGATCATGAGCCGCATACTGAGAGGTTGAGCATTGAGGACAGAGGAGGCTTTGTATCGAATATGCCAGGTTACTCTTTAAGATTATAATACCAAATAGTTCAATTCAAGACTAAACTTATCCAAAGTTCAGTTCTTGAAGCTTGTTTTTTTTTTCGTTCAGGAGATGTCCCTCGGGTTAACGGGCAGCTAGCGGTTTCTCGCGCTTTTGGGGACAAAAGCCTCAAAACACATCTACGGTCAGATCCAGACGTTAAAGATTCATCTATAGATGATCACACAGATGTTCTTGTTCTTGCTAGCGACGGTCTATGGAAGGTAAAACAAATTGGTTTCTTGTGTTGTCAAGGAAACTAATTGGCGTTTTGCTTTCGATTAATCGGTTTTTGATGTGTTGATGGTGTAGGTAATGGCTAACCAAGAAGCGATTGATATCGCGAGAAGAATAAAAGATCCATTGAAAGCAGCAAAAGAACTAACAACCGAAGCGTTGCGAAGAGAGAGTAAAGATGATATATCTTGCATCGTCGTCAGGTTAAGGTGATGAAACATCTTTTGAAACCCACCAAGAAAACGAAATTTATAAGTTTGATTTTGAATAGTATAGTTAGAAGATATTTTTTTTACCAATGGTTGATTGGTTTTTTTTGCAATGTTTGGTAATTTGATTGGATTTGATTTGTGGTTTGTGTAAGTGGGAATGAATCATATGAGATTTGGTTGGTGTATAAAAAACAACTTATCTTCTGCATTGACATCAGAAGATGACTCAAGTTGGTTGAGAGTGTATATAGAAGCTTTGTGTGGTTCTACTTCTGATGATGTTCTATAACAGTTCTCTTTTGTCATTTTTTTAATTTAAATTCCGTCAAAAATTATTGAGTTTGCTAAAATTTCATGAATTACATTATTAATCTATATATATATATATATACGATACAAATAACAATTGTACTATTAATTTAAAAATCAAACACATGAATCGAACAATGTTTCATAATCGAGGTTCTTACATGAATAAAAGTCTTTCAAAATCTCTGAAGATTTTAAAAATTAGTTAGAAATATAAAATAAAACAAATCCAGTTTTTTTTAGATAATCTAGTGTCAACTAATTTAAATCTAGTTTAATATCGATTATTATAAATGTGTAGTTATAAAACTATATGAAAGAATATAATATAAAAATGGTGGAATAAGGTGTTGAATTTTATTAAACAAAACTATTGGAGATACTAAAACTGAATCGAGTGTTAAATGATTAGTTGGAAGGGAGAGAAGATGATACCCCATGTTTAAAAACTTGAGGTGGAGGTTTTGAATGTTATGACTATTGTACATGGTCTTATAACACCGATATGAATACCATCGAGACCTAATGGCAAATTAGTTTAATAAAAAGTTATTATTTACAACATATACATATCTAGTAATTAATTGTTATCTAAAGAGATTCTTGAAGCACAAGCAGCTAATACGGGATCAAGGGGTGAGAAGGTGGAGAAGCTAGTTCGATGGTTACCCCCACTTCTCGGGTGGTACAAGCTAAATACAAATGGTGCGTCTTGGGGAAATCCAGGACTCGCTACTGCTAGAGGGGCGATTAGGGATCCTGATGGGACTTGGTGTGGGGGTTTCGCGTTAATATTGGACGTTGTTCGGCACCTTTAGGGGAGCTATGGGGAGTTTATTATGGTCTTTGTATTGCTTGGGATCGTGGACTAGAGAGGGTAGTCTTGGAGGTGGATTCTGAAATTGTGGTTGGTTTTATTACAAAGGGGATTGGTGATTCACATCTTTTGTCTTTCCTGGTACGTCTGTTTCTTGGCTTTTTATCGAGGAACTGGATAGTTCGTGTCACACATGTATATGGGAGGCTAATCGTCTTGCAGACGGATTAGCTAACTATGCGTTTTCATTACCGTTAGGATTTCATGTTTTTAGTTTGGCTCCAGAGTCTATGGAATCTTTGTTGAGAGAGGATGTGTCGGGATCTGCGTGTCCCCGAATGGTTTGAATTTAATTTAATTTTTAAATAATGTTTTAATTTTCTTAGCCGGGAGTGAAACTCCCGGTTTTTCACCAAAAAATAAAATTGTTATCTAAAGATAAGTACACTTTGGTGACATAAATGACCAAATTAATTCATTTAAACCTCTCTGCAAACCGGGGTCATACACTACAAATATTTAATGTTACAGATAATTCTCCAACAAATTATTATATTTTTCTCCACAAAGTTTTTATATAAGGCTTGTTAATTAGTTGAGTTTTGTTCATAGTAATTTTGAAATATAATTGACTGAAAGTAAATCTATAAATATTATAATGGGCATCAAAGCTCTCTATTATCTTAGAGGCAGGCATGACCACATTTACGGTTAATGCTGTTACGATTTATCAACCACCAGTTAACAGTTATAATTTTCTCCATAACGTGAACCATTATACATACGGTTAAAACGGTTACGGCTATATATGGTTACAGTTAATTACGGTTATTGTTAAATACGATTACAATTATGTGATTATGATATAGTTAAAAACATATATAAAATTTAATGTTTTCTTACATTTATATATATATTTTTAAAAATGATATACTCGAATAGCATTTATTTTAAATAATGAAAAATATTTAATTATATAGCTCAAATATTTATATTAAATTAGTTAAATAAATGAGTTTTTTTTATCAAACAAACCTACAAATAATTAAAATTAAATAATTTTTATTTGATTATCTTAAATGGGTAATAGAATGGATAAGATTTACTTGCCGACATATTAAGCCATTCTAAACACTATTTCAATGAAACAATTTATTGTAAAGATTTAACAGTACGGTTAACTATGCGGTTAACCGTATGGTAAACTATGCGATTAACCTTACATATAACAAACAGTTTTGAATACGGGTACGGCTATAAATCATTACGGTTAGTAACTGTAATTGATTTACTTTTACGATTAAAAGTTACGGGTTTTGACCATTTTATATGGTTACGGTTAACATGGGTTAGCGACTTCACGCTATGTTTGTTTGTGAGCCTAAATTGTTGTTTTATTAAAACAATTATTGAGGATTTTTTCCTTCCACTCCCCAAAGAAAAAAAAGAGAAGCTCTCTAAGAGAAACAAATTAGTATGAATTAGTACAAATTAGTATGAATTAATATATTAGGGGGTTAAGAATTTTTTTATTAAAATATTGAATGAGTTGGTAGGAATTATCGTTTTAAACAAAGTTTTAATTATTATTGTTTTTCATTATTTTTTCCAAATTATATTGAAAATATTTTTTAATTCCATCACATTGGATGTATTAGAAAACATTACAAATTTATGAAACTTAAAGGAAAGACATCACAACAAGAAGAAACAATTCATAATTATAAAAGAAAAGATAACACATCAACACAATATCACAACAACACAACCACACAAAAACACAACAAATAATATACTAATGAGGTATAGATCATTTGTCCTTTTCTGCAGTATCGTTTCTCCCGCTCCTTGCAGCAAGTTCATAAGACAACTTCTCATAGAGCCCTTCAAACCTCTCGAGATACTGTTTCATCTCTTCCTGATCCTTCACCTCTGCCGGAGGCACTTTCCACCACGCATCTTCTGGCAACGGCTCCATAGATGCAGCTGCCTTTGTTGCTTTCGCTTCCTCAGCACGTACCGCATCTATCATATTATTGTACAATTCGCAAAGATATTGAATCTTTGCTTTATAGTTCCTATCAACCGGTCGTTGCAAAGAAGAAGAGGACGATGAGGCTTCGCCATTGAGAAATTGTTCTGCAACGGCATGGAACGATGGACTGCCAAATGTATATGGCTTTCCAGAGCCGGTGTACCCGAGAAATGCAACGTTAACGTCGCAGAGAACAGAGAGCTCACAGAGCTTTTTGTAGATACCATTTTTTCGCTTCGACAATGTGACTAGCCTGTCCTCTTCTCTCTCAATTTTCTTTATGTTTATCTTTTGCCTTCCTTTTGTTTTCTTCGAATTCATTTTTGGAAGCAAAATATGAGTTAGTTAGATTAGAGAAAAATAAAGAGAATGAACAGAAATTTAAGAGTAATACTAGTTTTTGTTTTATCTTTTTCTTTTAGTTTAAGAATATGTTTTTGTGAGTGCATGATGTGAGCATATATATATACAAAATAAAGATGGTACTGATTAGATTGCATTAAAATAGTCAATTCTTTAATTTTTGGTATTCATTAATGTTTATATTAATGTTTGCAACTTTGAACTTGTTGTGGTCAAGGAATAACACAAAATTCATAATCAACTTAACACTCATACCAAAAAAAATGTTTGAACTTTGAACACCATATGATAAACTTAACACTGAGACCAAAAAAATAAAAAACAATTTTGAACATTTATGTAAAAGGACTTGGATTCTATATCATTTTTGAATAAAATTTTAGTCAAAGTATGAAATCAAATATAGTATTATAGGAAATAATCACTTTTAATCAATATTTTTATTCAATGCAAAAACTATTGAATTTTAACTGTAGGACGCTATTTTTGAAAATTGAAACTAGATTAAATAATTCTATTTGTTAATTGAAAATTTATATTAGCACATATCCAAATTTTTGAGAAACAATCATGGGAGTGTATTGTAATTACGAGAAAAACATTGAATAAATAATAATAATGCGAAACTTGAAAGACTTGAAAAAAAAATAATGGTATTTCGCGATGAGTGTTGACGAAATATAAATATTCTGTGAGATTAAACAAAAAAAAATATTTAATAGAAAATATGATTTACTGAAAAAGATCCAGTTTTTTTGTAAAAGTAATGCGTTTTTATAATAAATAAAAATTTTATTTTTGAAAAAATAACATGTAATCCTAATAAATAACGTGTAATATAAGAAAATATGGTGTTAAAAAGAGAGATATATTTTTATTTCATGTATTTCGAAAAAATAGCATGTGATCGAAAAATGATGGACGTTAAAAAGAATGACATCGAGATTAAGATTCAACTAAATTTAGATATTATAGAAGAGACTGGGATTCGACGAGATTCAGAGATAGATATTCTGCTATTAGAGGGAGAGAGAGACCTAATCAATATGCTGTGATTGGTAGGATCCACTGCATATCATGGCGAGTGGTGATTGAGAAAGGAGATGTTAGGATGGAGTGACGATGATAAAATATTAGATCGAAAGAGTGGTGATGATGAGAAGAGATATTGTGAAAGAAAAGATGACGACTATAAGAGATTCACTCAGGAAACCAAATAAAGTGATGGTGATAAAATAATGCGGCTGATGCAACACTAGATGTAGAAGAGGAGAGAGAAATCAAGGAGATAAGAACAAAAGAAACAAAGAAAGTATTTTTTATAAGACGATGGCACTTTTGATTACTATAAGAATGTCAAACTTATTAATGTAAAGATAATTATTGACTAACTTTTAATAAATTTCTTAAAACCATCACGACTATTTTGTTCACGAAATGACACTCACGCACCATTAATTTCTTACCCTAAAATGAGTATGAAAAAAAGTTTTGTTTGACAAAAATAATTTAATTTTTTGAAGATAAAAAAATAACATAAAAAGAAAAATATATTAAGTAAAATTATGTTTATGTTATTTTTGATATAACAACTATCGTAACTTAAGATATATGGTTGATGCCTATCAAATGAATCCAACGGCAATTTCTATGTTTGCAATTAATTTTTTTTTGAAATAATGTAGATGGGCATAGTCTTTTTAAATTATTGAAAATTAATAATTATAACCATCACATATTTTATATAAAAACTTATTAAATTTTAAATGAAAAAGCGATATGCAAGTTGAATTTTTTTTTTCCATTTACGATTAGACTGGTTTGATAAATTTTTAATTTATATCTCAAATAGATACATTATTCTTATCAAACAAACCTACATATAATTAAAATTAAATAATTTTTATTTGATTATCGAAAATGAATAATAGAATGGATTAGACTTACTTGTCAACATACTAAACCATTTTAAACACTATTTCAAAGAAATAATTTAGTGTAAAGATTTAACAGTACGGTAAACTATGCGATTAACCGTACGGTAAATTATGCGGTTAACCGTACATATAACAAACAGTTTTGATACGGGTACGGCTATAAATCATTACGGTTAGTAACTGTAATTGATTTACTTTTACGATTAAAAGTTACGGGTTTTAACCATTTTATATGGTTACGGTTAACATGGGTTAGCGACTTCACGCTATGTTTGTTTGTGAGACTAAATTGTTGTTTTATTAAAAAAACTATTGAGGATTTTTTCCTTCCACTCCCCAAAGAAAAAAAAAGAGAAGCTCTCTAAGAGACAAAAATTAGTAAAAATTAGTATGAAATAATATATTAGGGGGTTACGAATCTTTTTAATTAAAATATTGAATGAGTTGGTAGGAATTGTCGTTTTAAACAAAGTTTTAATTATTATTGTTTTTCATTATTTTTTCCAAATTACATTGAAAATATTTTTTAATTCCATCACATTGGATGTATTAGAAAGCATTACAAATTTATGAAACTTAAAGGAAAGACAACACAAGAAGAAGAAACAATTCATAATTATAAAAGAAAAGATAACACATCAACACAATATCGCAACAACACAACCACACAAAAACACAACAACACAACAAATAATATACTAATGAGGTATAGATCATTTGTCATTTTCTGCAGTATTGTTTCTCTCTCTCCTTGCAGCAAGTTCATAAGACAACTTCTCATAGAGCCTTTCAAACCTCTCGAGATAATGTTTCATCTCTTCCTGATCCTTCACCTCTGCCAGAGGCACTTTCCACCACGCATCTTCTGGCAACGGCTCCATAGATGCAGCTGTCTTTGTTGCTTTCACTTCCTCAGCACGTACCGCATCTATCATATTATTGTACAATTCGCAAAGCTCTTGAATCTTTGCTTTATAGTCCCTATCAACCGGTCGTTGCAAAGAAGAAGAGGACGATGAGGCTTTGCCATTGAGAAAATGTTCTGCAACGGCATGGAACGATGTACTGCCAAATGTATATGGCTTTCCAGAGCCGGTGTACCCGAGAAATGCAACGTTAACATCGCAGAGAACAGAGAGCTCACAGAGCTTTTTGTAGATACCATTTTTTCGCTTCGACAATGTGACCAGCATGTCCTCTTCTCTCTCAATTTTCTTTATGTTTATCTTTTGCCTTCCTTTTGTTTTCTTCAAACTCATTTTTGGAAGCAAAATATGAGTTTGTTAGATTAGAGAAAAAGAAAGAGAATGAACAGAAATTTAAGAGTAATACTAGTTTTTGTTTTATCTTTTTCTTTTAGTTTAAGAATATGTTTTTGTGAGTGCATGATGTGAGCATATATATATACAAAATAAAGATGGTACTGATTAGATTGCATTAAAATAGTCAATTCTTAGATTTTTGGTATTCATTAATGTTTGCAACTTTGAACTTGTTGTGGTCAAGGTATAACACAAATTTCATAATCAACTTAACACTCATACCAAAAAAAATGTTTGAACTTTGAACACAATATGATAAACTTAACACTGACACCAAAAAAATAAAAAACAATTTTGAACATTTATGTAAAAGGACTTAGATTCTATGTCATTTTTGAATAAAATTTTAGTCAAAGTATGAAATTAAATATAGTATTATAGGAAATAATCATTTTTAATCAATATTTTTATTCAATGCAAAAACTATTGAATTTTAACTGTAGAACACTATTTTTGAAAATTGAAAATAGATAAAATAATTCTATTTGTTAATTGAAAATTTATATTAGCACATATCCAAATTATTAAGAAACAATCATGGGAGTGTATTGTAATTTCGAGAAAACATTGAATAAATTATAATAATGCGAAACTTGAAAGACTTGAAAAATAATGGTATTTCGGGATGAGTGTTGACGAAATATAAATATTCTGTGAGATTAAACGAAAAAAAAATTATTTAATAGAAAATATGATTTACTGAAAAAGATCCGGTTTTTTTTTGTAAAAGTAATGCGTTTTAAGAATTAAGAAACATTTTATTTTTGTAAAAAATAACATGTAATCCTAATAAATAACGTGTAATATAAGAAAATATGGTGTTAAAAAGAGAGATATATTTTTATCTCATGTATTTCGAAAAATAGCATGTGCCCAAAAAATGATGGACGTTAAAAAGAATGACATCGAGATTAAGATTCAACTAAATTTAGATATTATAGAAGAGACTGTGATTCGACGAGATTCAGAGATAGATATTCTGCAATTAGATATAGAGAGACCTAATCAATATGCTGTGATTGGTAGGATCTACTGCATATCATGGCGAGTGGTGATTGAGAAAGGAGATGTTAGGATGGAGTAACGATGATAAAATATTAGATCAAAAGAGTGGTGATGATGAGAAGAGATATTGTGAAAGAAAAGATGATGACTATAAGAGATTTACTTGAAGAAACCAAATAAAGTGATGGTGATAAAATAATGCGGCTAATGCAACACTAGATGTAGAAGAGGAGAGAGAAACAAAAGAAACAAAGAAAGTACATTTTATAAGACCGGTGACTCTTTTGATCACTATAAGAATGTCAAACTTATTAATGTAAAGATAAGTATTGACTAACTTTTAATAAATTTTCTTAAAAACATTACGACTATTTTGTTCACGAAATGACATTCACGCACCATTAATTTCTTACCCTAAAATGAGTATGAAAAAAAGTTTTATTTGACAAAAATAATTTAATTTTTTAAAGAATAAGTTTGAGAAAAAATTTACAAAGATAAAAAAAATAACATAAAAAGAAAAACAGATTAAGTAAAATTATGTTTATGTTATTTTTGATTGTAAAATAAAAAAATAACATCTATCTCAACTTATGATATATGGTGAGCCCTGGGCACCAAAAGAATATTCAGAAAATTTGTGATATTTGTGATTCGCTTCGCTTCGACCGAATAGTTGATTTTGATATTTGATTCGCTTCGTAAATTTTCGAGTATTCGGAACTTCGAATATTCGAATATTTTTCGAAATATTCGCGAATTATTCGCTTCGCTTCGCTTCGACCCATATATTTTTTTTAACTAAAAAACATATAGTATATAAACATAAACTGAAAATATCAGATATTGAAGGTTCTTGTTTGACATGTTTTCAAAATAAGAAGGAAATATAACCACCGTCCATATAATTTTCACATTTTTTTTTTATTGATTTTTCTAATAAAGTTTTATTTGTTTAAGAACAACATTAGCAAAAAGCCCGACGGGTTAAAATATAATAATTTGAATAATAGACCTATTAGATATAAACCTAAATCCAACGGGCCAAAATATAATAATTTGAATAATATGCCTATTAGATATAAACCCAAATCTATAAATACACATATTATATATATTATATACTGATTTTTATATATATATATACGAAGCGAAGCGGATATTCGACATTGAAAAAATCAATATTTGTTATTTGCTTCGGTTTTTACGAATATTACATTTTCGTATTTGCTTCGCTTCAATATCTTATAGATATTTGAACTTTTCGAATCGAATCGAAACGAATATCGAAGCGAATCGAATCTAACGAATATTTTGCGCAGGGCTATGGTTGATGCCCATCAAAGGAATTCTTAATGTCATACAAGTTTATAGATTCCACAAATAAAATAGTGGATATGATGGATCTCAACAGCTGGATGTAAAGGTTTGTTGTGCTCCATTCCTCCCTATGTTTAAAATCTGAATATTGAATCCTAGAACTAAAACCAAACCATGCATACTATTAATATGGTTTTTGTCGATTTGACAAACCGAACCAATAAAAAAAAGTTCGGTTTAAAACCAAATTTTCCTGTAAATTAAAGAAATATTTGAGAAAATAAATATAAACCACAGCCAAAACCCATATATTTTTAGGCTGCTCTCGGCAGGAGATGATTTTTTGGCATGCCCTTGGATATTGTGGTATGTATGGAAGGCTCGAAATGGTAAAATTTATGAGAATACGGATGATAGCCCAATGGAAATCTTACGTGTCGCTATGGAGGAAGCCACTGCTTGGAAAGGAGCTCAGAGTGAGGTCCAGGGTATACAATTGGGTTCTGAACAGGTTACTGCTCCTATTAGGAGTCAGATTCGGAGACCTATTACTTCCCTTCCGCCCTCATATTCAGGCTATCGCTGCTTTATTGATGGCTCCTGGAAGTCCACTGATGATTATGCAGGTTTAGGTTGGTTCTGTCAACATGCGCAGGAAGTTTCCTCGATGATAGGCGCTTCAAATGTAAGGCGTAGTCTATCTCCTCTACACTCTGAAGTTGAACCTCTGGTCTGGGCGATGAGGTGCATGATCGGACACAACTACAGTGATGTTATGTTCCTGACGGACTGTTCAGATTTGGTGAAGATGGTGTCTTCTCCGTCCGAGTGGCCGGCGTTCTCTGTTTACCTTGACGATATCAACATTGATAGGGAAGAAATGTTTTTGGATTTTTGGGTATTATTCGGTTCACAAACTTTACTAAAACCAACCAAAAACCATTTGGTTTTCGAAAATGCAACCAAACAAAATCCAAAAATTACGGTTTGGTTCTTTAGTTCCGGTTAATAGCCTGAAAATTTTGAAAAAACCAAACCGGATTAAAAGAGTTGTAAAGTCATGTGAATCATATCCCCTAGAACCCTCTCTCTGATTCAGAGTCTCTTATAATATTCTCCCGCCAATTAGATAATACCATAAATTAGGGTTCACGAAGCTTCTTTAATCCTCCTCCTCCGCTTCCCAAATCCTTCCAGGTGAATCTCTCGAAAACACAATCTCACCACAATGGCCGATGAAGAAGAACCTCTCTCTCAATTCAACATATCAAAAGAGGTAAACACAAATTCTTCAATTTGGGGAAATTTTCTTGAGATTTGTGTTTTTGATTTTGATTTTGATTTGGATTTGGAAAAAATTATAGGAAACGGATAAGCTAGTTGCAGAGGTGATTAGATTCATACTATTCAAGTCACACCAAAACTTAGGTTGTCCAATTAAAAGAGAAGACTTGACTCAGATTGTTACTAAGAACTATAGGCAGCGTAATCTCGCTACCCATGTGATCAATGAAGCTAAGAACAAGCTTGCTAATGTGTTTGGTTATGATTTGAAAGAGCTTCAACGCGCTCGGGTTTCGTCTAATGCTCAATCAAGGATTCCTCAGTCACAGAGTAAAGATTATGATGATGACCCATTTGTCTTATATTGGTTTAGATTGGATTTAGCTTAAGTGTTTTGTTTGTTTTTTTCGTTTTCGATATAGGTTCTGTTGATTCGAAGTCATATGTTCTTGTTAGTCAATTGCCGATCGAAATGTTTAGGAAGTATGTTGTGGATGAAGCTACGAGTCCTATGACTGGTTTCACGTTTGCGGTTCTTGCTGTTGTGCAGCTTGCGGGAGGGAAAATCCCTGAAGGTATGTGTTCTATGTACCATTATCTGAGCTCTTAACTCTTAAGATAGTAATATCTTTTGGTTCGATGCGATGTGGCTAGTTTACAGAATTTGTTCAGTAAGATTGTTGTCTAGAGATTGTATTGGTTCAGTTTACAGAATTTGACCAGTGGCTAGTTTAGTAAGATGGTTGTCTAGAGTTTGTAGTAAGAGATACAAGTTAGTTTGTTGCCGTGGCTGTTTGTTGAACTTAACATTTCTGTTTTTTCTTCTCACAATTCTATGGATCATATTTAGAGAGCAAAGTTGTAGAACGAAAATATAGTAATATCTTTTCGTTCGATGCAAATGGTCTATGCTTCGGATATACCCTTGTCCTGCGTTGGTTTAATTTACATAATTTGACCAGTTGCTAGTTTAGTGATATCGTTATCTAGAGTTTGTATGAAGAGATACGAGTTAGTTTGTTGTCGTTGCTATCTGTCGAACTTAAAGTTTCTGTTTTTCGTTTCACAATTCTAAGGATCATAGTTAGAGAGCAAAGTGGTAGGGTTGAGAAGTCACAAGTATGTTGTATAGGATTGTTTAAGATCCTACATCTATATGCTGAATCAAATCAAGAGTGTATGACACATACTTGATTTAAAAATATTTTTTGTTAATCTCTTTTCTCTTGCCTTTACGCTTTCTCAACATCCTTAGAAACCCTTTGGCATCATTTGAAGCGAATGGGACTGCATGAAAATGATGAGCATAATCCTGTGTTTGGAAACAACAAGCAGACCCTGGAGACGTTAGTCCAACAAAGGTTAGACCTTTCTTTAACCTTAGGGATAAGTTTACAACTTTTAAACACTGCAAGGAATAGTAACTGATGCCAAGAGATTGGTTTCATGGTTCTTCGTAAAATGCTTTGTTATGTGGACAGGTTCTTGCAGAAGGAGAAAGTTAGTGGCCCGGAGGGTAATTCTCTGTTTTACGATCTTGCCGAGAGAGCGTTGGATCCGCAAGTCAGTGAGAAAATAAAAGACTACATTTCACAGGTACTGCTTGGAAGAACATACAATTTTGTTGATTTTGTGCATCTCATTCAGTTTTGACTTAGGTTTTGGCTTATGTGAAATCCAGATCCTGAAGAATGATGTAGCAGTTGTAGACCTTGATTAGTAGAAGCTTTAGCCTTGAGAGACTAACCAAACAGATTGGTTCAACAAGTCTTTAACTTATGTATTTTGTAAGATTGCCTTAATTATCTAATGTATGTGAAGCTACTTTGGCAAAGATCAATTCTGATATAATATTGACAAAAAAATATGAATTGACTTATAATCTTGCCATCTTATGACATATACACTTCTACTACAAAATGTTCAGCTATGAATTAAGCCCTCTCCAAAGTTGTTGGTCTAGAGGAACTAGTGATTATACAGGAAAGAGGCAAAACTTTTCCTGAAAAGCTGTAACTGATACAGCCAAAAACATTTTAGCTGACCACATTTGCTATATTATAGAACTTTAGAAGTCACTGAGAAGCTGAACTTCCTCTGTTTGATGAACTTGAATCCCCAATTGAGACAGTGGCCAAAGACTTGGAGGCCCATGCTCTGGCGTTCATAGCTCCTCCCTGAAGATTGCTCCTCCTGTGCATGCATAATTGTACAGCTCGGCTCAGAAACCCGACGGTGTGTTCTAGCAGGCTTTCAAGTCTCATGTTCTGAGCAATCCGTCTCCAAGTGAATTTCATAAAGACAACGAGTGTAGGGTATATCAAGTGGAGCAATCTCAACAGGACAAATACAATGGCAAGAGCCAGATAGGTCTCTTGTCGAAGCATATTCTCAGGTGATCTTGCCCATGTAAAGGGGCAGTTTTCTGGCTCAGTGTTGTTTTGGTTCTCGAGATGAAGAACTGATACGCTTCTCTCAAGAGAAGTTTTATCCAGCGTTTCAATGCCTACAATCCCATAACATTCCTTGTTAGTTCCACTGGTTGAGCAACAAGTACCAGTATACAAAAAAACCAACTTATCGCCTAAGCTCATCACGAATAACAAGGCTATACAATCCACATCAAAGGTAAACACATACGAGAGACACAACAGATATGAAACACTACCAGAACATCACTAAGAACAAATCGCCTTACCGGTAACATCACTATAGAAAGCAACAAGAGAATCAAGCATTCTACTCCCTCGATATCGCGCCCGCATAGTCGAATTCAAAAGCAAAAGCGTAGGAAACCCATGAACTCCATACTTGGAAAGGGTACTGCACAACAACACAAAAACATCATTACAAACAAAACCCATTAAAGTCTAGCTTAAAGATCACCCACACATAAAATCTACCACACTCACCTCGGCTTAACAGACGATTCCTTAATCGCAAAATGCGGAATAGAAGAGTAAAGAGAAGAAACAACATCAAAACTCGGTCTAAACGATCTTGAGAAAGGACACCACGATGCATAGAAAAGCAAAGCCACATAATCACACTTGTTCTTATGTATCATATCCAAAGCTATTTGCAACCAACGCTCATCACCCTTCACAACAACACAATCACACCCATAAGCAAAAGCATTCAAATTTACAAATCTAATCACCACCAATCAAACCCTAGAAATTGAAATCGCTTACCTCGGTGACAACAACAAAACGAGGACGCTGGGATGATTCAACACAAGTCTGATCTCGGAACCCAAAGATGTAATCTTTAATAGACCTCGTAGCACAAAACGGAACCCTAACGGAGAAATCGTCGGCGTCGGCGTTAATAAACGTTAGATTCCAAAACACCATGACCAATAGCATAAAAAAGATCCCTTTCTCCATTAAACGAATATACCCAGAAGCTATCTCTCTTCTTCCTCCTCCCCAACTCAAACCCAGAATAGAAATGGTGCAGATTTGTTGTTGTTGTTGCCGACAAAATAGATTGGTGAATCTGGGAATTGAATTGAATCAATGGTGGTGTGATTTTGAAGAGATGTGTATGTAACGTTATTGGGATTAAGGTGGGAGAGATATTTGAAGGGTATCAATGGAAGAAGATGAGGAGGAGAGAAGAAGAAGCGGTTGTGGTTGCTGCTGGTCACTCTGGGTATATTGCTCGTTGGAACAAAGCAAAACTTTTTTTTTTTTTTCTCATGTCAAATGAAATTAAAAAAAAAAAAGATAAAAAAGATAAAAATTAGAAAATTAGAAAGAAAATTCAACCAGACTTTATTTTTTTGTGAAGTAAACCTTGATTAAAATACGATTTGGGTTATTTATTAATCGATTTTCATTTTGTTATTTATTTATTTATTTTGTTTAAATTCATTTTGTTATTTCTTACTCGGTTACATATCTAGGAATTTTTAATTTCTTATAAATTTTATGTTTTTTAGTTAATTATGGTAGCTATTTTTTTTTCTTTGTAAAATTTATGTTTTTTCAGTTATTTATGGATTTTCTAATAATTTTTGATGAGGAAAATAACTAAATATTTTTTTATATAGTTACATAAATAGTATACAAAAAGTTTATATTTGATTTCGTAATTAATTCGTATTTGATTCAACATTTTGTTGCATGTATTAATTAAATTATAAATAAACTTAGTTTTTTATTTACATTCATTTGGTTTGAATTTTTTTGTTTACATATATATATATATATATATAGGTAAAAATTAAAATTTTCCAAGTTAAGACAATCTAATGTAATATACAATCATCAAGATAAACCAAATTTATAATGATATTGAAGTTAAGTTAAAGGCACCCAAAAAATATAAAAGCATCTTACTACCTTCTGAGTTTTTTTAAATTAAAGACTAAAGTCCAGTTTGACAACCAACCTAAAATTTCCACATAATCTTCTTGCTACAGTCTGTGGAAGGATCCTCGTTGCTAAGACATATCCAATAGTCTATCTTGATGATCGTATATTATATTCAATATGTTGCATTACTTACGATTGTTTGGTTTTTTTTTTTGACATCACTGCAAACTATACGTTTATCTTTGAGAGGGAATAAACTCTAATCTGGATCTGATAAGAAGACAACAGAGATGAGAACCACTAGCTCACTTGTTCCTTCTAGATTGTTTAGTTTGCTGTCTAATATTAGTCATTGTGATAATATATTTCTTATTTTTTTCAAGCTTCTAAAAATACAAAAAATCGAGAAACTTTATTGTCGATAAAGTGTAAACCAGAGGAATAAACAAATGTTGCATCTAATGATGATGTAAATTAGTAAGAAAATACGAACAACTTCATATTTGTTAAAGTTAGTAGTTTCTATTTCTTAAACTCTTGCTGAATAAGTTGTTTTACTAGTTAATATTTCATGCGGCATAATGAGTTTCAAATAAAAAGACTTTGAGAGTTTTAAATCTTATATCAGTTTAAATTTATTCAAAAATAGTGATGGACATAATATGTGCAATTCCCTTCCTTGCCATATTTTTTTACTTGACATGGAATAAAATTACACAATACTAATTTTTTACTTGAAATTGGATTAATGAATTTCATCTTCTTGGATTTGAGAATGCAATACATTTCTTGAAATTTAAATGTTTGCTTTGTAAATTACTAATACGTTCATTTTTCCTTAAAATTTTATAAAAATCATATTTTGTAACAATATAAAAACAATTACTTCGTCTATAGTCAATATCATCAAAATGCAACAAAAAGATGTTCATCATCGTTTTCAATGAACACAAAATATCAATATGGAGGAGAAGAAGCGATATATGACCCCCAAAAAAAAAAAAATTGTGACATTCATCCCTTTATTTCCTTTTAACAATTCATATGTTAGTATAGTGTATATAAATCTTGTTATGGATTAGAAATTTTACTTTTTAGTAGGTACATAAATATTCACCTCCCCACCATAGTGTTAGTACTACTACACATACAAATTCTCATGAATAAAATTAAAGACATAAGCAATTTTAATATTTAGTTATTTACCATGTCTTTTGAGTTGTCCTAATTGAAACCTTAATAAAGAGAAATGACTAAATTAAATTAAAATGCATATCCATAAATTTGTCAAATTTTGAATTTGTTAAACTAAATTAGCAACTAGGTTTAATTTTTTTTCGAGGAAAAAGTAGATTCATTAATACTCAACGAAAACCAAAGATTACATATTCTACAAACTTAGATATTATAACAACAACATTAAAAGCATAAGGAGAGCTCAAATAGGTGAAGGAATTAGTGGGTCGCTGCTTCTAACCTTTTTTGCCATTATCACCAAACTCGGGTTTACTTGATCCTTTTTAAAGAGAGACGTATAATTTGGCATTCAGACAAATTAAATGTCATAAAAAAAAAAGGAAAGGCAAGATAGACCGACGATGAATCCATGAGATCTCGAAGACAATTGTTGAGGCTGCCACAAGCCAGAAAACGGTTAGCCTAGATCACAACCACGAAAACTTTTGGGAGGTGAGGACTTAGTCACAGTCATTATACATAGTAACATAGTTCTACTAATTTTGTAGCTTTATTTATGCTATTTACACAACAAAACGTTAACTTGGCAAGCTCTTTAATTTTTGCAGTTGTTGGTTATGCTATTTTCACAAATTCTATAGTAAAGTAAAAATGTGTTATATATATGGGCATTGATGTGAACATTTGTAAAAACTTATTAGAAATCACGGTATCTAGATTACGAGTTATCTCGTGGAAAAAAAAATAAAGCTTAAAAAACTTACTATAATATGACTCGAGTAACTTAAACAAAATCCATCAACTCTGCTAATTTTGGTAACTCCATTTCGTAGGACTTGACTTTGCTAATTTTTATGTAAACTCTAACTTTGGCATATTCGCTAATTTTCCGAATCGAGTTTCACAATTTTCTCATGAACTAATATTGGATTTTATCTAGAGGGTTTAGTTTTCCAGTTATATTTTAATTTCTACTAACCATGGTATAATCAACAAATTAGGTTGTAAATTTAACTATTTTATCAGTTCTTATATATAAAAAGATCATTAATTAAATTGAATTCATGTATTAAAAACATCCGATAAATTATTTGGATTGATCTTGACCGGTTTCCCTCTGAATTGTATTGAACCAATTTGTAGTTCCTATCTTGAATTAAAGTCCCATATGTATATAGACTATGACTAAGTTGAATAAAAAATTCAAAAAGTTATTATACATTTAAGTTAAATATTTGAATAAATAAAATATAATTAGTATGTACATAATAGTGTAGTCAAAGTTGATCAGCAAAATTGAGCTTACAAAAAAAAGATTTTAATTTGGTCACAAGTCTTATGATACATAGCTTTTGGAAAGAGTATAACTTTTGGTTTTCAATCACAATAACTATAAAGAAATGTATTATTCTTCACATATATTGGTAATAAGTTGCTAGTAATTGAGAATATTGACTAATTAAGCAGAATTTAAAGATAAGTACTAAGTTAATTAATAACCTTGAAATATTACTTACTTTGCAAATTAGCTAATACTATGAAAACAAATTTATCTCTAATATCTTAAAATTTTAGCATACTACTTAATCATAACATTTCCCTAATTGGTATGTCAAAATCTAGTGTTCACAAAAACTAGAGGTGTTGACCGTTAGAGAGAACTAAACAACTTTACATATATACATACCAAAACATATAATGTATCTTCCATAGTAAAATTCAACATTTAGCATTCATTCCATTACCAAAAAATCCGAAATTAAAAACTGCACTGTGGAAAACCTAAAAGCTTACGTAAATGCCAAATATAGTCAAAAACCCTGCAATGACAAAGTTGCCAAATCTTGGAGAGGTTTGGTCCACAAAATTTAAGGTTCTTTGGCTTCCCACTCTATTTATAGGCAAAGAGATGAGACAGAGAAGATTAAATTACTTCTTAACAAAGGTTGTTTTCACTCAACCACATGCATTCTCAAGTGTCTGCTCTTCACATTCTCCAAGATTCTCATTTACTCACTTCTCTATTTGGTACGTATAAACTCACAAAACTACTTTATATATTACTTTCACTTCATTATTCGTTTTGTTCACACTTGCGTTCTTAAACAATGGTATATAGAGATCATACGGTGGTGAGACGATTGATACGTGAGATCTACTTACGTACCTGCATGATTACTAGTTATTGCAAAAAACATTAAATTTACTTTGATATATAGAGAGAGTAATCATTATATAAAGCTAACTTAAGTTATATATAAATATTTTTCATAAAAAAAAAAAACATTCCCAAACCCTTTTTTTTTGGTTTTTATCACTCTCCATTCTCCAACCACTATTCACCACATTCAATGGAGTCATCACAACAATATGAGATATCTTCAAGCTCTTCTTCTGAAAAACCTAGAAACTATTCCCAACCTCTTGATCTCTTCCTTAACCTCAACCAAAACTCTTGTAATAACAATACCTTAGTTGAGCCTTTACCTCTTCTTGATCGGATCAACTTGAACTCAAACCCTAAGCCCTTGTCCGGTGAAGAAGAACAAGAAGATGAAGAGGATGTTGAAGTGGACGTGGACTTACACATCGGTCTTCCTGGTTTTGGTAAGTCGTCAAGCAATGATGCTAAAGATCCTAAGAAGAGTACTAATGGGAAGGAGATCGTCACGTTTGATGCCGGAAAAGATATCGAGAATGAAGTTTCCGGTAAGGGGTACTGGATTCCGGCGCCGGAGCAAATTCTAATAGGCTTTACTCATTTTTCTTGCCATGTTTGCTTCAAGACATTTAATCGTTACAACAATCTTCAGGTATGAGTCAAATTTATATTTATCTCATGCGCATTGCTTGCTTATCCATGCATAACTGAATTTAATAAATTCATACTCAACTTATATAGTTATCTCCGTAGCTAATATTATGATTTACGAGTTTATTCACATATATAATTATGATTTCAATTCACATAAATGAAATTCCCTCTGATCTTAGTATATAATTTACAGATTTAATCAAGTTAATCCGTAGTTAAAAAATTTTTTTTGGTAAAAACTTATGGTATGACATTTTATCATATAATTTACTGATTTAATCAAGTTAATCCGTGATTTAATTATTTCATGAAAATATTTCATCAAAAGTTTTTAGCGTTTGTTCAAATTCAATGTCTAAACTAAATTGATTTTTCCCTTTTTTAAAGAAATGAAATTATCTACTGAAATTTTCATTAAATTTGATTTGTTTTTAGCTTTGTTTAATTTCTTAACTAAATTGATTTTTCCCTTTTTTACAGAAATGAAATTATCTACTGAAATTTTCATTAAATTTGATTTGTTTTTAGCTTTGTTTAATTTCTTAACTAAATTTGATTTGTTTTTTTTAAAAAACATTGTAATCAACATATTGACTCAAATTTCACTGACTATAATTTTTAGTAGCTTTCTCATATATCTTATTAAATTTTAGTTGAATAATAGTAAAAAAAATAATTTCATTCAAACTAAAATACTCAGAATTCTTAATTGAAACTCACTATATATATGATCTATCAATGATATGATGTTAACGAACAATGTTTTTGATTTTATTTTATTACTTACACAAAACCTTATTGACTCCTTAAATATTATGAATTAATGTAGATGCACATGTGGGGGCACGGTTCACAATACAGAAAAGGACCAGAGTCACTCAAAGGCACACAGCCACGAGCCATGTTAGGAATCCCTTGTTACTGCTGCGTTGAAGGGTGCAGGAACCACATTGACCATCCTCGTTCTAAGCCACTCAAAGACTTTAGAACGCTTCAAACGCACTACAAACGCAAACATGGCCACAAACCTTACTCGTGTCGCATTTGCGGTAAGCTTTTGGCTGTCAAGGGAGATTGGAGAACACATGAGAAGAACTGTGGGAAACGTTGGGTTTGCATTTGTGGTTCGGACTTTAAACACAAACGTTCCCTTAAGGACCATGTTAAGGCGTTTGGACAAGGTCATGGGCCTTATCCGAGTGGTTTGTTTGAAGAGCAGGCTTCTAATAATTCATCTGTCTCCGAGACTTTGTTCTTTTGAAGTTGGTCATCTTTTATTTTTGTTTGCTTATGGACCATTTCTTTTGGCTTGAATAATATGTGTGGTATGATTGGTATCTAACAAGAAGTTTATTGAAGTTAGTATTTTAATAAACGCATGAAACATAATCAAAGTTGATAGGTCATACTATGTTCATGATGCACATTTCCTCGTAAGTGTGTTGAGTTGCTCCGCTAGCTCATGGTAATCTTTGGCCCAAGTTGGGTATTTTTAATTTGTATGGTCCAACTTAGAAATAAATATTATGAGTATCTTAGTAATTAAAGAAGTTAGGGGTTGGCATTGGCCTATACGGTTTTTCGATTTGGTTTCGGTTCGGTTTATCTGATTTTATGGTTTACAAAACCTGAAACCAAATAAACCTTATGTAATACTTCTTGTAAAAGTTAAGAAATTTTTTTTGGTAATGTATTTAATTAGAGTATAATGGTATGTGATATTTTTGGTCAAAGTAATTAATTTTTTAAAAGTTTACAAAGTATGGAGAAAAAGATAAAGTTTCAAAAGTAATATAAAAAGATGTGGTCAAAGTAACATCTTCCTTTGGTATTTTTATTTAATTTTATACTAAATAAGGTGATAATTTTTTTTCTTAAACTCAGTCTTTCTATTGAAATATATTATATTTTTACACTATTATAAATCAATTTCAACAACAAAATCAAAGATCTTTAGAAAGATTTTAAAATTAAAAAAATATAGTAATTAATATAGTATTTATTATTTCAATAATATTTTCATTATTAATTAATAATTTTTTTTAAAAAAATTAAAGATCGTAATATCTAAAGAAACTGATTGTTTCAATTTTCTTGGATAAATTAATAGAACAGGAGTATATTTAAAAAAAAAAACACTACTTAAAAAATCGTACTTAATTACAATACAATGCCATTACCAATTCTATCAAATTTACAACTCATTTAATTTTTATTACAACGAGTTAAAGAATTATTATTATTGCATTAAATAAGAAAATTAACTATTGAAATATTTTATTCATAAATAATATAAAATATTTTAGCTTTATTGTTGTACAGAATATGAGAAAATAATTAACATATTAAACAACTAAAACTAAAAAGATACTTTAATTTTATTTTTCCTATATAAATATATTTAAAATAATTAAATTCTAAGAATTATAAAAGTTCATATCACTCCCATGCACAGTTATCGAGAGCTATTTCACAAAAAGGTTTTGAAACGAAGGGCAAGCACAACACATCAAGCAAAGAGAAAATGACTAGAGTCTCTCCAATCTGCGTTTCTTTCTTCGCTTAGTGTGTTTTTCTTGCTTTCGTTTCAGAATTATTTTTAGAAAACCCTTGCGACCTTTTGATGGGCCTATCATTTTCTGGCCCACTAAGCTATCCTTCTCAGCCCAACACTTGTTTTATGGCCTTATGGGTATGATTCAATTTATTTTTTGGTCTAAATTGGTTTTCTTAACTCATTTGTCAAGCATGTAATACATTGATGTCTCCTTATTTTTTTGAGCATGGCCAAAGACTCCATTCTCACGTTGTATTGACATTAATAGTTACGTTAGAAAAGTAGAATATATTATTCTTAGTGAAAGTTAAGCTTTTAACTTGTATGCTCCAGTTCAGAAATGAATATTATAGAATATTTAGTTATTAAAGAAGTGATTTTATTTAGAGATTTTGACAAGTTTTTTAATTTGATTTTGGTTCGGTTTGGATTTATAGTTGCTCAATTTAGAAAACGTGAAACTTAATAAAACCGTATGTAATACTTCCATTTGCTTCGAAGATCTTCCCAGTGCGTTTAGATTGATGGATTCTGTCGAGATTAATGGCTAAAAGAGCTATTATATCGAGGGGGCGTGGGAAGAAAAGATCCCACATCGGAAGATGTGAGAGCACTTCAATAATATATAAGGGATTAGGACCAATCCACTCATTGCCAATTGGTTTTGAGTTGGAAGACCATAACAAACCCTAATTTAACATAGATAATCATAAAATTGTTGTCTACTATTGTATGTGACATGAGTCTACCTACCATCATTACTAGAGTCAACGGTCGTTGACTATTTTATTTTGATTGTGATGTTACGTTGTATATACATATATAGACAATAAATAGGATTATAATAGTTTATTCCATAGGTTTATATTTATTACATAGTCATACAAAAATTAAGACATCAACCTTTGAGTAATGAAACATTGGTCCACGTATACTCTAACTTGGGAGCTTTTTGACCATGTGTGAAGTAGATCCCATCTTCTTTAGCAAACCAAAAATTCTGTTTACCATAATGAACTATAGCACCACCACTTCTATATGCCAAGAACTTTTTAAAAAACTTGAAATTATTTCCCTGCCATAGTTGGCAATAAATTATGGTTTTGAAAACACTATCATGAAAACTGATATTGTATGTCTCTTCAGGACTCAAAAAGTGGGTGCCTAGATCATCTTCGTCTGATATGCAATGAACTCTGAGAATGTTTTTGGGAAGAAGATTGTTAAAGATATGTACCGCGTTTTTCAGGTTTTCATTACTAAACCCTTCACAAAATGCAATAAGAACAAGGAAACAAAAGAGGCGATTCATTGTTGATTAATCAGTGAGTTGTTTGTTTTTAGGGGTGCCCCAAATGATCAAAGGTATCAATTTATACATAGGTCCCAGATTGATCAAGTCAACCTATATTGATCTCTTCTCGTAAAAGTTAAGAAAATATTTTGGTAATGTATCAAATTAATTATGGGTCAAAATACTATGGGTCAAAGTAATTATTTCTTTGAAAGTTTGAAAAATTAAAAGTGTACAAGAGTAATATAAACAAGTTGTGGTCAAAGTAACATCTTCCTTTAATATTTTAATTTAATTTTCTACTAAATTTGGTGATAATGTTTTTTTTTCAAGAACTCAATCTTTCTATTGAAATATATTATACTTTTGCAGTATTATAAATAAATTTCAACAACAAAATCAAAGATCTTTAGAAAGATTGATTTATAAAATAAAAAAAAAATCAAAATATAGTAATTAATGTTTTATTTTATTTCAATTAAATAATATTTTGATTACCAATTAATTAATTAATACAGTATATTAAGTGTTAATTATTAATTAACTATTTTTAAATAGCAACAGTATTTTTATATCAATTAAATATATTAAAGATAGTAATACATTTTAAAACTAATTGTTTCGAATTTTCTCGGATATCGTCTATTAATTAAATATAAGTACATTAAAAATAACCTAAAAATAGTACTTAATTACAATACAATGCCATTACAAATTCTATCAAATTTACAACTCATTCAAATTTTTATTACAACGAATTAAAGAATTATTATTATTGCATTAAATAATAAAACTAACTATTGAAATATGTTAATCATAAATCTTTTAGAATATTTTAGATTTATATTTTTACAGAATATGAAAAATAATTAACATATTAAACAATAAAAATTACAAAATACATTAATTTATTGTTCCTAAGTAAATATAGAGATTTAAATAATTACATTCTAAGAAATATAAAACCCATATCTCTCCCATACACTCTTATCGAGAGCTCCTCCACGGCTCCACCAACAGGTTCTGAAACGAGAGCGACAAAAAACTAAGCAAAGAGATAAAATAGATTAGAGACCGTAGATCGTGACACATCTCTCCAATTTGCTTTGTTTCTTTGATTAGTGCTTTTGTTTGTCTCGTTTTAGAATTTCTATTTTCAACCCTCTCGAACCTTTCAAAAAACAGAATCATTTCAAACCGTTCAACTATCTTCTATGTGGTGGTCTCAGGTTTCTCCAATCACATTTCATCAGAAAAATGGTGAGACTTCTCACCGACTTTTCCTGTTCCTAAATGGCAAAACCCTAACTGCTCAAATGGACCTCCTCGTGATGGGCCTATCATTTGCTGGCCCACTAAGCTATCCGTCTCAGCCCAACGCTTGTTTTATGGGTATTATCCAATTAATTTTTTGGTCTATCCTTCTTCTTATTTTGTTGTGCATGGCTGAAGACTCCATTCTCACATTGTATTGACATCAATAGTTAGGTTAGACAAGTATAATTTATTATTCGTGGTGAAAGTTAAGCTTAGTGTTATCTGCCTATCTCATACCTCTGTTAAAATACAAAAATATACAAAAATTTTAGATAAAATAAACTCCAACCCGTATTGTAGCACGGGTATTGATCTAATAGTAATAGTACGATTGGTATCTTAGTTGTTTGGAATTTTTCGGATACAAGATCGATCGAATACAAGATTTCTCCAAAGACATATATAGTCCAATAGGAAGTTGAATGAGTTCATATTTGAATGAACGCATGAAACATATTCAAAGTTGATTTAGGTAATTTGGTCCATGGTATCCTCATGAGGGTGTTGGGTTGTTCCGTTCATGAGGGCATTTTTAATTTGTATGCTCCAATTTAGAAATATATATTATGAGTATATTTATTATAATTAAAGAAGAAATTGTATTTAGATTTTGGGGTTTGGCATACGGTTTTTCGATTTGATTTCGGTTCGGGTTTTCTGGATTTATAATTTCTCGGCCGTTTAGAAAATGTAAAACCAAATAAAACCGTATGCAATACCTTTTATTTGCCTCTAAGATCTTCCTAGTGCGTTTTGATCATTATAAAATCCTTGTCTCAAATCTCTAGTCGATTGTTACAGTCTAGTTACGATCTCAATACTGGAGTCAATCGTTTGTTGACAATTATTGTATGTGATGTTATGTTTACATATAGACAATAAATACAATTATTATCGTTTTATTCAATAGGTAAAATATATTACATAGTCATATATACACAAAGAGTCAAAGACGTCAACCTTTGAGTAATGAAACATCGGTCCAGTTATACTCTAACTTGGGAGCTTCTTGACCATGTGTGAAGTAGATCCCATCTTCTTTAGCATACCAAAAATTCTGTTTACCGTAATGAACTATAACACCACCACTTTCATATGCCCTAAATTTTTTAAAAAACTTGAAATTAATTCCCTGCCATAATTGGCAATCAACCTTTGTTTTGAAAACACTATCCTGAAAACTAAAATTGTATGTTTGTCCAGGATTCAAAAGGTGGGTGCCTAGGTCATCTTCGTCTGATATACAATGAACTCTTAGAATGTTTTTGCCAAGAAGATAGTTAAAGATATGTACTGTGTTTTTCGGTCTTGCGTTACTAAACCCTACACATAATGCAATCATAAGCACGAAACAAGAGAGACGATTCATTGTTGACTGATGATCAGCGCGATTAATTATATCTAAAGGTGCCAAATGATCAAAGGTATTAATTTATCATACACACACACACACACACACACATATATATATATATATACATAAATTTCTTATTGTAAAAGTTAAGAAAACAATTTGGTAATGTATTAAATTAAATTACAATATTATTTCCTTTAAAGTTTATAAATATGGAGAAATGTTTTTGAAAAATTAAAGGTAAAATAAAAAGATGTGGTCAAAGTAATATCTTCCTTTGATATTTTAATTTAATTTTCTACTAAATATAGTGATAACTTTTCAAAAAATCAATCTTTCTATTGAAATATATTATATTTTCTACACTTTTATAAATCAATTTTCAACAAAGAGCAAAGAGCTTCATAGAAAGATTGACTTAAAAAAATCAAAAGATATAGTAATTAATATTGCATTTATATATTAATTATTAATTAACTAAATAATACATTCATTTTTAATTAATTATTACCTATTATTAAAAATGAACAGTTTATTATATTAATTACGTATAGTAAAAATACAGTAATTAATATAGAGAAATTTTGAAATTGATTTATAATAGTGCACAGAAATAAAAATATATTTGTAAAAATACAATATTTTCCTATTTTGGAAAACAATTTTAAAAAGAGAAATTCCCTAAACTAGCATCATTTAACTTTTTCTTCCACAAATACCATACACTCTATAATTTGATATTAATACCATTAGTTTTTTGATTAAAAGACTAAAACACTCTTATGTATACACCACACAATTCAGTCTAACATTATATGATTTGAGTGTGATTGAATCACACAATCTCCAGCAACGAGCTCGTGTCACTATCTCTCTTCGGCGACGATCTCGCCGTTGAACCGCCGGTGAGCTTCTAATTTGTGTTCGCCGGCGAGGTCGTGTCACCATTCTCTTCACGCTTCCATCTTTGTCGTAAGGTTTGTTTCTTCACCGTGTTCATTGCGTTTGTCGTTATCGTCATTGTCTTCACTGTTTTTGTAGATTTAAAATTCGATTAGGTGTTGTTGTGGATTTGATTAGGTGTTGCTCTAGATTCGATTAGGTGATTTCTGGATTTGAGAATTGTCATGAAGCTGGTGATTTTGTGTTGTTGTGAATTTGAATCGTTGTTTGTGTTGTTGAGGATTGGAGAACTAATCGAATAGTGAATCGGTTCATTTAATAGGTTTTGCTTTGATTTGAGTTTAAAGTTTTGAATCGATTATGCTTAATCGTTTTTGCTTTGGTTAGTGTTGGGTGTAGTGAATCGACTATGTTCAATCAGAAATAGATGCTGCTTTTATGGAGAATGAACTAGCTTGGTGGAATTAACGTTGTAGATCCAAATTTGTATGGCGATTTCACATTTGATTTGTGTTTAAGGAACACATATATATGGTAAGGTTGCATTTGTGTATCTTAAGCTTTGGTAGTTTGAATCTCGTCAATGTAATTGAATTATACTTAGCTTGTGGGGAGTGAAAATATAACGATAATGGATCCTGAGATTTTGCATTCGATTGGTACAATGGAGGATCTCTTTGTGAAGTTGATGATGATATCACGTATAAGGTTTTAGCAAAGATGGTGACTGAAGTTTTCAAACTGGATTAATTAGTCAATGCTATCAAACTTAGTTGTGGAGTTCCTGTAATGATGAAGAAGATGGCATGGGGTTCTCTGTGTATATGCAAAATGATTGTCAAGTTCATACGTTTTGTGAATACCTTCCTGAAGTTCGTGGAATCCTTCCTGAAGTTCGTGTAATCCTTCCTAATTTTTTGGTGTCTTTCTTACTAATTTGGATTTCCTTAACAATATGTCTTTCTTTCTAATTTGAATGTTTAAGTCCTTTTATTTATATTTTACCTTAAATGTATCATAAATCTCAAGAGTAATGATTTGATTTTGTATCTCTCCAAATTTCAAAAAATCTTTCCTAAATGTCAAGAAGTTCTTCCTAAATACCAATAAGTTCTTCCTACATATCAAGGAATCTTTCCTAAATATCAACAAGTCCTTCATATATATCAAGGAGTCATTCCTAAATGATAAGTAGATTGTCTGTCTCAATAATTGAAACATCCAAAAAGAGTTCTTAGAATGTAATGACTCCTTCAAAGGACGATCCAAGTGACGCAACAAATTATCCTTTCATTCATACTTATCATCTTGAGCTTTGCCATTGTAGGATTCAAATTCATATATTTGATAATAGGAGATTGGGATGATTACAAATGTGAATAATTAAATATTATCAAAAGTGTTATACATTAACGTCATCTCAAATGGTATATTGTTTTATGATAGTGTTCATAAACTATAAAAATCTCTTCCTAAATGTTCTTTAATGCTTCCTAAATTTTAAACAATGCTTTATCCAGTCATCATATGTGAGAAGCTTCATTGTATTCAAAAACAGGTTTCTCTTTGTTTTAGATCTTGGCTCCTTTCTAATGTTGAAATGGAGCTTAGGCAGTGTGATATATGTAGGGAAAGACTCTCTCATGTCCTGCAATGTAAATATATTTAAAGTGTAGATCGTGTCAAGAAAGTCATCCTTAAATATAAAGATCTCTTCCTAAATTTTCAACAGTGCTTCCTGAATTTTTCTGCAGAACGCTGAAAGAGCAATACCACGTTGAAACCTCATCTATTTACATTAAAAAAACACATACCTAACATGCAATACCCTTTAAAACTACTATGATTTGCACACCACAAAAAAAAGAAAAATAATTCTATATCAAACTCTAACATTCTTGTTGTAACAAAATTACTATCACCGTTCTAAACAAAACTCATATAAAGTAGTGGATGATGCAGGAATCTGAAAATGACCAGAGGACACAGCAATGGAGGCTGAAAAAGCATAAGCAGAAGCAGGAATGATGGCAGCAACAGCCTGAGGTAAATAGATTTGAGCTTTCTTGATGATTTCTGCAATAATCCAAACTTATGCTTGCTTCATGTCTTTGATGTATCCAATTTCACCTGCACATTAATTCAGCCAATGGAAAACACATTCCAAACTCTAGCATTCTTGTTGTACCTAAACTAAACTCAACCGAACTAAACCAAGAATTCATGCTGACATTCACAAAAACTAAACTCTAACATTACCCTACCTAAACTCTATCATTCTCAATAAACCAAACTAGCATTCTCAGGCTTGCAATTCACAAATCGAACTCAGGTTGATATCCACAAAAACAAAACTCTAGCATTCTCTACAACAATTCAAATTCTAGCATTCCCATTACTTATCACAACTTTAGTATTCTGTAACACAAAATGTACACTAAAACGACCATAAATTAGCACAAACCAAATTCTACCATTCCAGTCAATGGCCAAGTCCATAACCGGTGAGGCGAAGTTGATTCAGAAAGACAGCGGCGAAGCAAGTCGAAACCGAGTCAGGAATCGGCGACGCGAGTCTACTTCGTTTCAGGATCCAGGCAAGTTAAATTGTTCTTTTGAGTGTAGGTCTGATTTATTAAGGCTTGCTTCGGGAGACGACGACGACGGCTAGGTCTGATTTGAGAAGAAACCGGCGAATTCAAGGTATTATCCGGCGACGACGACGGCAGTAATGTTTTGTTGGCGTCGGCGATTGAGAGGAAGAGAAATTAGGTTTTGTGTGTTTGTCAATTTAGGTGAGAAATAAAAGGGGTAGTTTGGTCAATTTGATTAATGAAAATGTTAGGGATGGAATTTGTTGGGCCTGATGGTATTTCTGACCCAAAAACATGGAATCATGCTATTTTTGAGAATCTCCCTTTTAAATATTATGCATTACACCGAAATCAAATATAAAAATCCATAATATAATTTCATTATTTTTCTTACAAAATAAATTTTTGTAAAATGAACTATTATACTTGCAATAAGTGGAGAAGGTGCAAGTGGGCTAGTGGTTCTCACTTCTGTTGCCTTGTCACTAAATCCGGGGTTCGAATCCGGTTCTTCTCAATTAGAGACGTATGATTTGTAACAATGCCAAATATATATATTTATATGTATGGAATAAGTGTGGCTACAAACACACAAAAAAAAATGGGTCCATGGGAATATACCTCCTAAAAATTTCAAATAAATCTACAATTCCACCAAAATTGAGCCTCTTTGTTTTTGAAGTTATCTCAAAATGCCACGGTAAGAAACTCAGTTACGATCTCTTTGGTTCGAGCCTCTCTCATCTTCTATGGCTTCTCAGATTCCATCAAGTAGTAACTAATGGATTCAGTTTCATGTTATATGGTTTCAAGCTTCTCCCATCTCACTTTTAACCTTCAAATCCACCATCGTATACAACTTCACATCTAACTAAAAATACAGTTTTCACTTCTAAAATTTACAATGCACCTTTATAACTGGAGAATCTGGACAACTATAGGTAAGATATCGCAGCTTGTTCTTCGATCTCGGTTTTCAAAATAAGCGTCTGATCGATCCAAATATTTTGAATCCATATTGTTTTGCTCACGTATGAGACCATCGACTATGTTTTGAAACTAGTATTACTTCAAAATAAAAATTAATAGAGGTTGAACAGAAATTATGTATATATTAAGCCAATTATGTAATTTAATCTTGATATTAAACATATATAAAATATCATTAAAAACTACATAAAAATGATGGAGATAATTTTAATATGGAATATTCATTGGGATTCAGGAAATATTTTTAAATATTTATCAGAAATTTTAAAAATTTATAGATATGTTTAAATCTATATAAAACTATAGTATATGGAGATATAATTGAATGGTAGAAGATTTAACAAATTAAAAATTAGATATGGATATGCTAGCTTTACTATTTTTTAGCAAATTGAACTAATTAAAAAAAAAATGAATCGATCAGTTGATGATACTTGGAGAATATATATGCACACATGATCGTCGTTGCTTCAGACTATCTGTTTGGTTCCTACTTCATACGAAAAGCATAAACACATAACACTTAGAATCTCTTCTTGTTGTGTCTTTTCAATGTTATCTCGTGTCTGGTTTTGGCTTTTAGGCGAATCTGAAATTCTAAAGGGTCCAGATAGGTTAAGTGAATTGCCTGATGCGTTGCTTTTAGAGATATTGTCGTTACTACCAATGGAATATGTTGTGGCCACAATGTTTCTGTCCAAACGTTGGAGGTTTCTTTGGATGATGGTTCCAAGACTTGTATATGATGATAGGTATAAGAATATCGAAAAATTCTCGATGTTTCTAGATAGGTCTTTGGTATTGCACAAGGCTCCAATTATCGAAAAATTGCACTTCAAACTTGGTCAAACATGTCGTAATGAAGATCTTCCAGTTTGGATTAGAGCTGCAAATAAAAGCTCGGTGCGCGAGATGGTTATGGAGTTGGATGCTTATTCTAGACCATCACCAATCATAATTCCAAGGAGTTTGTACACTGAGTGTAGAATGCTAGTGACATTGAGTCTTATTAATGTGATTCTTGTGGACTCTTCTTCACATGTTTCTTTCCCTTGCCTCAAATCATTGAAACTTGTATACGTCAAGTACCCTAACCCCGGTGACGAATTTGTGAAGAAGCTTTTATCCAACTGTCATGTTCTTGAAGACTTGGAAATAGTACTAAAAGGTCCAAATGATAATGTGACTACCTTCACCATCAGAGTACCTTCTCTAAAGAGTATACTAGTCATCTATACACTAAAATATATTATTGATGATCATAGCTTTGTGATAGACGCTCCTTCTCTAGAGCACTTGAAGATTCTTGATCATAATGGTAGATTATGTGTCATTGAGAATAATATGCCTAAGTTAGAAAATGCTGCTATCGAAATCTCTTGCTTTCTTCCTGGAAAGATTCTAGCATCTATTACTTCAGTCAAGCTTCTCAAATTATGTTTATCTAGTTCCCAGGTATTTTTTGTTTAGGACTAAGGCTGTTAATTGTTTCGATCGTTGTTCGTTTCATACGATTGATCTATTTTATCTTGTAGCATCCTATGCAGGATGTATATCCTACAAGTTGTGTCTTCCCCTCTCTCGTACGTTTAACAATATGCACATGTGACCAACCGTGGGTGGATCTACTAATGTGTATGCTGAGAGTTTCCCCTAATTTACGAGATCTCGAATTGGACATGGTACATAGATCTAAACATGAATTGTTCATTTTCCTTTTACCAGTATATATATGTTGTTCTAACTTATATCCGCGGCATTACTCTGTTCTGACTGATCAACCGCTCCACGCGAGCTGGAATGAAGCAAGCTTAGTTCCTGAATGTCTATTATCGAGTCTTGAAAATCTCGTATGGAAAGGCTTTGAAGGAACTAAAGCTGGGAAAGAAGTGGCAGCATTCATCTTAAGAAGCGGAAACTGCTTAAAAAAGGCAACAATCTACTCTAAGACCACTGACCTTAACAAGAAACTTGAGATGATCAAGGAGTTGTCATTGTCGCCAAGGGGTTCACGTACTTGTCAGCTTCTATTTGATTGAAGTTAAAGTCTATTATTTACTAACATTTTATTTGATAGTTGGTGTTTGATTCAATATCGAGAACTCATGTTATTAAATCGAATATGATAGAAATATGTTTTTTTGGATAATTAAGGGTGGTCCGGACTTTTAGCAGGTCGGACCCAAATAGAGTGGACAGAAATGCATTGAACCAAGAGTCCATTTTGTTATTAAAAAATATATATAGACAAGGAAAAGATCATGTTTTTCTTAAGATAATGTAAATTGCCCAAAAATATTTCAAAAAAGTATGAAAAACTCTCACATTTCCCAAATATAACTGTTTGAATTTAATAATAATTGGAGTTTTGTTACAAAAAAAAATCTTGTTCCTTGAGTTGTGAATATGCATATGAACTAGGGTCCTTGTGATGAGGCTCAAATTAGCCCTAGTCACCTACTCACTCAAAACAAGCATAAAAAATTCTACCAAACTCAAATTAGTCTTGGTCACATACTCACTTCTGATTTAGATTAATTAAGACAAATGACAGCAAAGAGGTAACTCCACACTTACACCAACAACCACGATATCTCCTTATGCTCCTTTGCTCTCGTGATCATACTCCAACCCTCTTCTATTTTATCTATGGAAGTGACAAAAGCAAATAAAAACACAAAGAAAGAGGTTGCTCGAGTTTTTAAACAAGATAATAGGGTTTCCTAATTTAATTCACACTAAATCGGATGCTTAAAACTCAAACCACTTAACCACCAAAATTAGTAGTGTCAACCGACACCTTACTTGGTATCGATCGAAACTCATCTCAAACTCGGTTTCAGGATGTTACAACTATTTACAGTATTGCTATAAGGATTTAAGAAATATTTCTAAATATTTAACTACTAAGATATATTTGAAAAAAATATAGGATTAGTTTAAAAATTAAATAAGATTATACTTTTTAATTATTTTTTAGCAAACAGACTAGGAAAAGGAATCAGTTAATATAATATTAGGAGATACATGATCGTTATTGATTGACCTGCGTTGTTGTTTCAGGCTAAAAACATAAAATACCACACTTAGAATCTCTCACGCTTCGTTGTCTTGTCCATGTTTTCTCGTGTCCGGTTTTGGCTTTTTGGTTCCCCGGTCGACAGAGAACAAGTGAAACTAGAATTACAAAAGGGTCCGGATAGGTTAAGTGAATTGCCTGATGCGTTGCTCTTAGAGATATTGTCGTTACTACCAACAGAAGATGTTGTGGCTACAATGATTCTTTCTAAACGTTGGAGATTCCTTTGGATGATGGTTCCAATACTTTTCTACGATGATACTAGCAATAAGAATATTCGAAGTTTTTCGGACTTTGTAGATAGGTCTTTGGTATTGCACAAGGCTCCAATTGTTGAAACATTGCATTTTGTTTTGTTTTGTTTTTTTTTTTTTTTTTATAACTCAGGAGTGATCCCAGAGGCTTTCTAGGCCTAAAGACTAATCTCTTGGGGCCGAGGAAAACCATGTTAAATCTCGAATCCCCGTGGCCAATGCTACTCGAACCCAGGTGACGGGACTTACCTCCCTTTACCACTGGACCAAGGCGACTTGGTTTAAACATTTCATTTTAAACTTGGTACAACCTGTCGTCATGAAGATATTCCAGTTTGTATTAGAGCTACAAATAAAGACTCTGTGCGCGAACTGATTATAGAGATCGATACTTCTTCTAGACAATCTCTACCTCCAATTATACTTTCAACGAGTTTGTACACTGAGTGCAGAATGCTAGTGAAATTGAGACTAAACAATGTGATTCTTGTGGATGCTTCTTCAGAATTTTCTTTCCCTTCCCTCAAATCATTGGAACTTAAATCGGTAAAGTACCCCGGTGACGAATTTCTAAAGTTATTTTTATCCAATTGTCATGTTCTTGAAGACTTGGTTGTATTACAATGTCCGGATGATAATGTGATTACCTTCATCATTAGAGTTCCTTCTCTAAAGAGTTTAGTCCTGTATACATCCCTATATATATGAAGACGATGATGCTCATGGCTCTGTGATAGATGCTACTTCTTTGGAACGCTTAGACATTCATGACACACACGGTGAATATTATTGTATCATTGAGAACAATATGCCTAAGATAGAAGAGGTGCATATTGAGTTCGTTTATATTCATCCTGGGACGATTCTAGAGTTTATTACTTCAGCCAAGTGTCTCACTTTATGTGTATTCATTCCTATGGTAAAAAAAAAAGTATTACCCTTTTTATGCATTCTTTATTTTCACTGGCCACGAATATAGTTTTTTTTTTTTTTTTTTTTTTGTCTTGTGATCAAAATATGTTGTATCATCCCTAAATGTCTATTGTCGAGTCTTGAGTATCTAGTATGGGTAGACTATGAAGGCACTGAAGTTGAGAAAGAAGTAGCATCATTCATCTTAAGAAGCGCAAAGCGTTTAGAAAATGCAACTATCTACTCTAAGACCACTGACCCTTTCAAGAAACTTGAGCTGATCAAGGAGTTGTCATTGTTGCCAATAAGTTCACATCTTCAACATCATTACTAACATTTTTTTTGGTTAATTGGTGTTTGATTTAATATCTAAAATAAGCTATTATGACGTTAATCACTTCCTAGTTTAGCATTTTTTATTGATTTTATTGATCAACTAAAAGAGTTATTACGAAGTTCTTAGACCATAAACATTGGCGTGCCCAGTCCCAGTCCCAGACCCAAAAGAAAAGAAAAAAAATATACATATTTGAGGCGGGACGTACGCAGAATTGCGACGGTTCTTCCTTTTATTTGCGGTACGCAGAATCCCCACTGATACGTGGCGGCCCGCAATTGGTTAACTTTTTGTTTTTTTTTTTTTAAATCGCAAAAAAAAAAAACGAAAAAAAAGGGACAAAAATTTGTCCTAACCAATGTGGATACCCTTAACAAGAAAGAACTAACAGTAGTTTTTGTGCTGATTTAACATAAATTTTCAAATTGTTCATCAGTTATTTATTTTTAATTATATATGTATATTCATATCGAGTTATAGGCAACGTTTTGATTGGCTAAAAACGCTAAACTTTTTATAAAATAATTAGGTAGTGAATTTAATGTGTTTATAAAGATACTTTAACAGACTAGCTATATACTTCTATGGAAAAAATGAAAACGTGAAAAAATAAATTGGTAGTATAGTAAAGACTAAAGTATGTATATAGATTCGTAAATGTCTGAACTATGATGACAAATGTGGTGGTTGCGGTTCATATTGTCAAAAAGCCAAAAGGGATATGCTACAAATTATAGTTTACAAATGTAAGTTGTTATTTTTATAATATTCTTATGTAAATAAATTATGTATAGTATAATTAAGTATTTTAAAATTTCAGTATTTATTCGTTTATTTTGAGTTACATGTAAACTGTTCTATCGTTTTGGATGCTAACAATCCAAAATTTTGTGCTTAACAATTGAAAATCCAATTAATAACTAAATTGGTTTATATTATCCTACTTTTATATCCAAGAGTTTGTGTATAGTAGATATCTATAAATATTAATAATAACAGAATATATCAAAGAAATGAGAAAAAAATAGTTTCTTATATATCTTTAAATTTATTAAAATATTTTGATTTAAATTTGATTTATCATCACAAAAATATTTTCGATTATAGAAAAATTCATAACTTAAAAATCAACAATTCAACCTTATTATTACTCTCTAACGTCCGAATTGGTTCATATCCGTATACCTTTTTCATACCTTTTACGTATAATTTGTTTTATACTATTTACAAATACCACATATACAATTTGAAGTATTTTCAAATTACGTATCAAGAATATATCAGTATACTGTACTACATTACTTCTCTTTATTACCAGTATTATACTTCAAGAGTTTATTATACCAATAGTTATTTAAAAATAATAATTCAAATTATAAAAAAAATCAAAATATAAAAAATATAACATACAAAAACCCGCGGATCAACGCGGAATAATAACTTAGTCCAAGTTTTAATTTGTCTAGAGTCCTTTTTCGTGCACTACTGATCTTCTTAACTCCTACCCTACGCCACATAAATTATATGCACTTTCTCCAGCTGTATCTAATTTTTAGATACCACCAAAATATCTTAGTCCAACCCCAACCCCTTACCTGAGTTTCTTCTTAATTCCCACAAGGCCACGACATACTTATATTCCCCAAAACACGTACCGTAGCCTGTTTTTATCACTAATTCGTGGTATTCGGGTATTCGAATAAATAATTTGGATATTCAGCTTCTAAATTATTTATATACATTTATATTTTAAGTATTTTTGTGTTCGGGTTTTAGTCGAGTTCAAATTTGAATTCTTATTAAAAAAATGTTTAAGACCTAATAAAATAAATTTAAAATTTTGGATTTAGATTCGGGTCTATACAAATCGGTTTTGGTTCGAATTTTCTGTTGGGTTTTTTTTTTGCCAAGGCTAGATTATTAGTTTGTTAATCGAGTCTTTTCATGCTCTAATTACATTAATAAACTCTCCGCCGCATAATCTCTACACTTTCTCCAGCTGTCTCCAATTTTTATAAACCACAAAAATAAAAAAAAAACTTCGTATATACTATTAGTCCGACCGAACCTTATTGACTTTGTTCCCACGGTTTTGTCTTTAAGTCTGTTTCCCAAAAACACTTAGCTGTTTTCTTACTGTAATATCTCCAAAACGCGCTCCTTTTGCCTAACTGTCAACCAAATCTTCTTGGTTAGGTTTCTTATCTATATTTTCCTTTTTACCCTTTCTGCTCTTATATAAATAAACTCTTCACTCATTACACAACACAACACAAACTCATCAACTCACAAACTCATATACATCACCACTACCTTCTGATCAAAACTCTATTAGTCTCTTTGTTTTGTTGCTTATACGTTATAGAAATGGCGTCTTTGAAGCTTGTTTACTTGTTACTGTTGGCTGTTACGTTCGTGTGTCTAGAAGCGAGGACGGACCAAACGGAAGACTATACCACGTTTCAGTACCACAAAGGAGCTCTCCTTACCGGAGATGTTACAATCAATCTAATCTGGTATGGTAAGTTCAAACCGTCTCAACGCGCAATCGTCACGGATTTCGTCGCTTCTTTATCATCTTCCCGGAGATCTTCTATGGTTCAAAACCCTTCGGTTGCGACCTGGTGGAAGACGGTGGAGAAGTATTACCACGTTAGCAAGACGGTCAAGACGACGCGTGGACTCACTCTCTCCCTCGGAGAACATATCATCGACGAAGGATACACAATGGGAAAATCCTTAACAGAGCGAAACCTCAAAGCCTTGGCCGCGAAAGGCGGCCAAAGCTATGCGGTCAACGTAGTCTTGACCTCATCTGACGTGACGGTCCAAGGCTTTTGCATGAACCGATGCGGATCACACGGGACTAGTTCCGGGTCAGGCAAGAAAGGGTCAAGATTCGCTTACATTTGGGTAGGGAACTCAGAGACACAATGTCCAGGAAAATGCGCGTGGCCATTCCACGCGCCAGTTTACGGACCACAAAGCCCACCACTCGTTGCACCAAACAACGATGTGGGCTTAGATGGGATGGTTATTAACTTAGCAAGTCTCTTGGCTGGAACCGCAACGAACCCGTTCGGAGATGGGTATTACCAAGGCCCTAAAACAGCACCACTTGAGGCTGGTTCGGCTTGTACTGGAGTATATGGGAAAGGCTCGTATCCTGGTTACGCTGGAGAGTTGCTTGTGGATGGAACGACCGGTGCGAGTTATAACGCTAAGGGATTGAATGGGAGAAAATATTTGCTTCCGGCTTTGTATGATCTCAAAACATCTTCTTGCTCGACTCTGTTTTGAACAATCTATTAGTAGTATACATTAGATGATTATTTTATTTTATACATTACATATTCTTTTGGTCATTATATTATCTTAATTATTCTTTTTGTAACACGAATTAGTAATGGGATCATTTGCTATTATTAACTACGGGTTTTATAAAGTTTCACAATATTATACAAGTATATATTATAATTCATGTAAAACAAGTAGAGAGCTTTCGCATACCTTGAGACCAAGAAACCTAATTCACACTTATAAGTATTGCAATCTAAATTTATGATCACTATTGAGGACAACATTTTAAAGCATTATGTGTGCGTTCACTTTAATTTTTTCGATTTGTGTATATATGAATCTAAGAGCTTTGATTTGTTAAGAGCTATAAATTTCTCAATAAATGGAAAAAGTAAAGACCATTTAATCAAAAAGATTTGTAAAAAGTGTACTAGAGTATTGTTTTAATGACATGAAGAAAAAGAGTCTTGTACGTAACTTCTTACACTTAATTGTAGCTCACTTCGGGTGAGAGGCAACAACAAGTTCCACAGCTCCTTGCATTGATGTAAAACATTGATCTAAGTTTTTAAATTTTTAAATCCTAGCCTATATGTTCAATTGAAATGTTACATTGTGAAAAGCCATTTTAAAAATTATTAAAAATACATAAACTAATATGGAAAACTAAAATGTAAATGAGCTCAACCATATTTTTGGTTCTTCTAGAACATATTCTTCAACTGATTAGGCAAACAAGTTTTTTACTAGGCTTAACTAAAACGTTTTTTAACTAGCAAGATAAACGTGAGCTGGAATCTCGGGCTGGAATGCGAGAGCTTAGAGCTACGGGGAGGTTTTGGTTTCCACCGGCCCTTGGTACTTGTAATATTCACTCTTCTTGGGTTAACGACTCTTCGTTTTGTAGTCGAGCTTGGGTGTTACGTAACCATATTGGTGTGTGCTATATCATGCGAGAGACGCGTTTCTTCCTTGTACTAATCGAATTGCGGCTGAGTTGAGGTGCATTCTTTGGAGTCTCTCAAGTTTACATGATATGTACCATGATATTTGTGATGTGTGGTTAGATTGTAATGCAGCCTGGGAAGCTATTACTTATCCATCTCGTTGGCCTAAGTACCGTGCTCTCTAAACTAAGATTAAGTAAGTGATACGGGTGATGCAAAAGGTTTCTTTCCACTTTTCTTCATCGAAAGCTAACTTGTTGGCTATGAAGATTGCTTGTAGTGTTACTCGTGATGGGCGGCTTACGTCGTACATGGCTCTATGCGGTCCAACTTGGTTGCATGTTCGTATTGAAAAGAACAAACGACTTGGTGGCTAAGTCTAAGAGCTTATGGTTTGTTGTCATAATTTCATGCTATATTTTTTCTTGTATTTGAACGTCTCTTCTTCTATAATGAAGTATTCAGTGTTTAAAAAAACTAGACTTAACTTCCAAAATCGATTGGTTCGGGTTAATTTCAATATATGAACTTTCGAAAACTTATGTTTATCTATTTTTTTTTTCGTTTTCTCTCTTTGAAAATTCTCTATTAAAGATGATTAATTCGAAAAAAATATCTTTTATCATTTATTTTGCATCAAAACATTTAATTTATATCCATTAACTTTGTGTAACGTCCCGACCAACTTTGCAGAAATATTAAGTTATTTATTTATTTTTAAATGTCAACATTCATTTTTAAATAACTTAATATTTTTTACATATTCTACCCACTTTTTATTTCCCCCTATTGTTTTTAACTTTTTATCCATTCTAAACAAAGAATTTTACCCATTCTAAACAATTTCTCCATGAAACTATTTAAAAAAAAAAAACAAATTGCCAAGTCAAAAAGAAATTCACAAAAACACCAACATGGACCAAAAAGGCCCATTAACAAAATCTATTACAACAAAGAATTTAAGAAAAAGTAACCCAAAAAGTTCACAAAAGGCAAACAAATGTTGAAAATTCCCGTGTCCCTCACACACATTTAATCCAACGGTTCTCCTTCCTCCTCCTTTCCCGATCATCGCTCCCCACTCACTCAAATTTATTAAAAATCCAAAAAATCAAAAATTCACAATTCGTAAAAAAAAAAAAAAAAAATCACAAACCTCTATCTCTCTCTCGTCTCTCTCAGATCTGAATCCTCCGTTTCACCATCTCCGATCTCTCTAATGGCGACACCACCACCACCAGCATCATCCTCATCACCGAGGGAAGAGTTCGTCTACCTCGCGAAACTCGCTGAACAAGCGGAGCGTTACGAAGAAATGGTCGAATTCATGGAAAAAGTCGCCGAAGCCGTCGACAAAGACGAACTCACCGTCGAGGAACGTAACCTCCTCTCCGTCGCTTACAAAAACGTGATCGGAGCTCGTCGTGCTTCGTGGCGTATCATCTCTTCGATCGAACAGAAAGAAGAGAGCCGTGGTAACGATGACCATGTCGCAACGATCCGTGATTACAGAAGCAAGATTGAATCTGAGTTATCCAAAATCTGTGACGGTATCCTTAAGCTTCTTGATACTAGGCTTGTTCCAGCTTCTGCTAATGGTGATTCTAAGGTATTTTACCTTAAGATGAAGGGAGATTATCATAGGTATTTGGCTGAGTTTAAGACTGGTCAAGAGAGGAAAGATTCTGCTGAACATACTCTCACCGCTTACAAAGCCGCTCAGGTGATTTCTCCGATCTGGAATTGGAATCTGGAATTTGACTTTGTGAGATCTGTAATTTTAGGTTTTTTTTCTAGGTCAAATCATGATTTGTTGAATCTGTTTTGTGTTTTAGGATATTGCGAATTCTGAATTGGCTCCAACGCATCCGATTCGTCTTGGTTTGGCTTTGAACTTCTCTGTGTTTTACTATGAGATTCTTAACTCTCCTGACCGTGCTTGCAATCTCGCTAAGCAGGTGATTGAAACGTTCTGATCTGTATTGGGTTTTGAGTCATTGTGTTTGGTACTCTTTGTGTATTGATGTTGAGATATGTATAACAGGCGTTTGATGAAGCCATTGCTGAGTTAGATACTCTAGGTGAAGAGTCATACAAGGACAGTACCTTGATCATGCAGCTTCTCCGTGATAACCTTACTCTCTGGACTTCTGACATGCAGGTAACACTTCTTCGAAACTGTTCATTGTATCAATCAAAACTTGAAACTTGATAATGGGATTGATGGAATCCTGTTGTTACTTCTGTTATCGAGCTTTGTTTCTGTAATCATTCTCTAGAGATAATCGTAGGGATTTTGAAATCAAATGGTTCACTTTCGCATTACGATAACAGTCTGATTGATGTTATCCTTGTGCTGATTATGGTTTTGGAATCTAATGGTTCACTTTTGCATTAAGATAACAGTCTGATTGATGTTCATCCTCGTGCTGATCTGAGTCTGTTGTGATGTATAATTAGGACGAAGGAACCGAGGAGATCAAAGAAGCAGCAGCACCAAAGCCAGCTGAAGAACAGAAGGAAACTTAAGTTTGCAACTTCTTTGTTTATTCTCAGTATTCTAAAGATAATCCGATTATTATGTTTCTTCTGCTTGGTGTTTGTTTTCTAATCTTCCTTTGCTATCCCGAAGCTTGTAAGGCCGTCTAATTCTTGTGTCCTTGTTTGCTTTTTTTCCTTTAATCGTGGATGCTACTGGAGTTTCTTTTTTTCTTCTCTTGATTGATTGCAATTTCAGGCTTATGGCCTTGTGTACTGAAACTTTGGTATTCTCTCTTATTAATGATTTGCCATTCTTCTGGTGATGCTGTACACATGTTACTACGTTTGCAATTGTGTTTTCTGTGTTTGCTTTAGGGTTAATGGATGGTTGCTAATGTTGGCGCTGATACAGATTAAGAAGACGACCAAAATTGCTGATAAATTCGTGTAATGCTGCAAATTGGATGAGGTCTGCGTAAGAAAGACCAGTAGTATAATAACATAATAAAGGTGTGGGTAAAATACCCGCACCCAAAACCTAAACCCGAATCCGACCCGAAGTAAGCAGTTCGGATCGGATATAAACTTACAAAATATCCGTTTGGGTGTTTTGTTACTTTGGGTTGGGTATAGACTTACAAAATATCCGTTTTGGGTGTTTTGTTTATACTAAAAGAATTGGTTACCCGAATCCGTTTGGGTATATATCCGAACACCCTAATGGCCTAACGGGTACTTGAACCATCCGAACTTGTATATTTTTAGTCTTAACACTAAATCTATTACTCTTTTTTTTTTTTTTTTTTTTTGATTCTCTGTTTGTACTAATAAATCTCTTGAATTTAGTGTTTTGTTCGAATTTTTTTTTTGTTTCTAAATTCAATTCAATTTGTTTTAGTTTGGTACGTTGTTTACAACTTTTGTTTTATGAATTCAGATATATTTTATTATTATTTTAACATATTCGGGTTAATCTTGGAATATTTTTTCGGATTTAAAAAACCAAACTTGACGTGAACCCAAAATATATTTCGAGATTTTGGGTATAACTCGAAAACATCCAAACCGATGGGTGTTTACCCATGCCAACCCAAAATTTAAATATACCCGAATAGATCCTATTTCTCTATACCCAAACAATCCGAGCCGAACCCAAATGGGTACCCGAACGCCCCACGCCTATTAACCCGAATGGGAGTCACATCTATTTATTGATAAAACCTTTTTGTTATGCTATATCAATCACATAACTTTTTTTAAATGGCATTTTCCTAGTTTTAATTTGTATTTTATCTTCTGAAGATATTAGTTATTTTTCAGTTTTTTTAGAGGTAAAAAAAAAGAATCACTTTCATGGCCCTTTTTTTAAGTAGTTATCAATTCTTTATTATTCAATCTTCCATTTTTCCTTTATTAAGGCATTCAATCTTCCATTTAAATAAATATTTTTTTGTTGATTTAAAAAGTTTGAAACTTCAAAACATATTTTTTTAAAAAATAATTCTTTGTATATACCAAAGTTACAAAAAATACATTTTACAATATAAAACAAGAATAAAAACAGAGAATGCAATTTGTTTTTTGTTTTTTTCCAAGAGAAAATAACTTACACACACATATATATATATATATATATATATATATATATATATAGATGGTTAAATTTATAATTTATTTTTTACAGCAATAAATGATATATTTCACATGAACTTCCTGCATTTACTTAGCTGCTTGTGACATATTTGGTGTCAATGCAAAATATGCTCCAATAGCATCTAAAGCAGTGTCAGATCGTCCATGGAATCCAACAAGCTGACGACCATTGTCCTCAAGCACAAACTTCTTTGATCCAAATGTGAGGGAGGTTCTCCCTGTTAATGTTTTGAAGACAAGACTTGTGATGACGGGGAGGCCGAAGCGAGCCACTCTACCATATGTTCCTTCCACAGAAGTGATATATTCGTTTGGATCAAGCAGAAACTACAATCAATTGCATACGACATCAATCAGGTAGAGTTATCGTATACTTAAACAAAATAATTACATTTCAAAAAATCTTATGGAACGAAACAGTAAACAGTACCCATCCGTTTCCTTTTAGATGATCTACTAGATTTATATATTTTTTTATAAAGATGTAAAATTAATTATATTTTTATGAGAATTTTTGACAAATACCCTTTTTGGTTTACCCCTTTTTAAAAATATCCCTTTTATTTGTCCATTTTCAAAAATATATCTGTTAATATATGAAAAATATAAAATTTTATATGGAGTATAAGGTACTTCTATATAATAACTACTATTGGGAGATTCGATACAAATATTTTATAGTTTTAAAAGGTTTTTAATCGTTTTATAAGTTTTAAAAGGTTTTTAAAATGTTTTTATAAGTTATTTTTACGGTATTTATGAAAGTTATATAAGATTTTATACACATACAAAAGTAATTTGTGTGTATATTTATAAGCTTACACACATATTTGGATAGATTTCGACATTTTTAATGATTTTTTGATAAAGTTAGAAAAGAGGGTATTTTTAAAAAGTGGTATTTGAAAAGTGATATTTTTGAAATCCCCTATTTTTGTTAGTTTAGCAATTTATATTATATATGCAGATTGCTTTCTCATTGATTTCATTCTGTTTAGGTAGATAATAAATAAAGTTATTTTAAATAACCAAAATTTAATTGATTTCTTAAACAATGTGTATTAGTCTAATAGATCATCTAAAATAAACAGAATTAGTAGTTTAATATGATGCAAGACTTATTAAAAATATCAAATTAATTTGTTAAAGAGAGTTGTGATGAGAATGACCTCTTGTAGTTCTTCGTTTAAAACCCCATGGGCCTTTGTGTCAGGTATGCCCGCCTTGACATAATCAAACATGACTTTCGTAACACAACCCCCATCAGTTCCAACATACACTTTGCTCACATCATCGTAAACTTTATCATCCCATATGCCTCCTCCTGGACCACCTTTTGCCTCAAGTTTCTTAGGCAATGCTGCTGAGTCCGACAAAAAATACGCTCCTAGGGCATCGATACCAAGCCCTGACCTCCCATGGAAGCCCACAAGCTTCTGACCGTTGTTCGCCAACACGAATTTTTCGTTCCCAAATGTCCAGGATGTTCTCCCACTCGATGTTTTGAAGACAAGACTTGTGATGACGATGTTGGAAACAGGACGAGCGTAGGTTCCTTCAACTGATGTAATGTATTCGTTTGGATAGTTGACTTCAAACTGCGTTAAACATATATAATCAATGAAATATATAAAAGTATAGATTTATAATTTCACTTTAGCCCTAGCCTATACATACATTATAAAAAAATATCGATTTTCTATCGCAAATATCGTAAGAAAATAGTAGGGAACACTTGTTTTTACCGCTTTCCTACGATAAAATTTTATAGAAAATGTCACCAAGGAAATCGGGACTAGTGAAAATTCGATAGGAAAGTGAAAGTAAGTTTTTGACTATCTTCCTACCAAAATATTACTAGGAAACATAAAAACTTTGTATCCCACCAAAAATACATTTTCATATACTTTACTAATTAGTATTGGTTACTTCGTATTTTCGATATGGATTCCTAACATAAAATCTTTGTATCCCATTTTTTTTTCTTTTGAACAACAAAAATCTTTGTATCCCACTAAAAATACATTTTCATAGTGTTTTGAAAATTCGAGGATCGCAAGCCAAAATATTTTTGTGGTTCACACTTTGAAATAGCTACCTCTTCGGGCTGATGGCAGATGATGCCATGCTCTTGAGACTCCACTGAACTCTCCTTTACATATTCAAACTTGACAAAAGTCACACAAGTATCATCTTTTCCCACTTGAACTTTCGTCACACCTTTGTTAATGCCATCATTCCAAACAACTCCTCCACTTCCTCCTTGTGCTACCACCTTCTGAGACATTGTTTTCTATATGTCGAGGAGGCGCTTTATCAATATTTGTATATACATATATAAAACAAATCCTAACGAGTACAAAAGATTTGGAAAAAGAAAATCAGTTATTATTTTCAGAGGTCAATTGCTAATAGCTCAATTGGTAAAGATCTCTGGCAAAAGTTCAGAGGTCGCCGGTTCGAGTAGCGTTTGGGACGAAACCATATAACATGTTCTGGTTTTGGGCATGAGGGGATGTATGAGCTTTGACCGAGAACCTCTTTGATTATTCAAAAAAAAAAAAAAATTCTTATGCTATTAATTGTCATGTTACATTTTTTTTGTTATACAGTTATCAGAGATTTTGATGATTTAATTTCATGTTGTCACGAACAATTCCTATATGCTTAATCGGACACAAACGAATAATCAATTATAAGATAAAACATTGTAAATGAGGAAGAGATTGAGAGAGGACCTCTAATAATGGTTTCTTGGTGATCCTTGCAGGTTATAAGTTGTTGGAATTATAACTCTTTGGCTTAATTATTTATAACTGTAAATTTTGACGCTAATGAGCCAATTCATAGACGACTTCGTCTTAACAAAACAAAATATTTATCCAACTTTTTTATTTTGGTACGGAATATGTCAATGAAGAGATAATGCGTGACATTTTTGTTTTATGGTATTATATATGTTACCTTTTTGTTTACTCCTATAATTATTTAAAGATTGTCATATATATATATATATACTAGTCGGTTGCCCGCGCTAGGCGCGGGAGTTTATTATGTTGTCTATGAATAATTAGTTCGTATTTTATTTTTTACTTATTTTTTCACTATACTATATTTTACTTTTTAAAACTTAAATTGTGTTTGTATAGAAAAACTATTGAATTTTAACTTCATTAGTCGTTGAGAAATTAAGTGTGTATAGTATAAGTCGAAGTATGAGCGTAAATGGAAGTGCGGTTGAGAATAATTAAGAAACGTGTGCTATTAGGGTTTTTACCAAATATGGATCTAGATGTTAATATTTTGGGTCCTTTTATATGTTGGCATGAAATTTGAACATGATTTGTGGGTTGGGCGGATTGTTGTATTTTTAATTGTTTACATTATCTCTTTATATATTGTCATAATTTATCATTTTTTGTTTTACGTTTTCCTTTTTTGGATTTGTTGTACTTTATATCTCGTAATGATCATTTATATACTATTATATATTTTTCTGATTTTATGTTTTATATATATTTTTGTTTTTCATATGGAACAATTTTCAAATTTAACATATTAGTATAATTTACTTTATATTTAGTTTATTTCATTAAATAATGTTTTATTTTAATTTTCAATTTTATGAAATATAGTTAATTTTTTTTTTGTTTATTAGTTTAACATATGTGTTGTAGTGGAAACAAATAGCTAAATTCATATTGGAAACTTTTAAAGAAATATTATTTTTATATAAATTAGATAGATTTATATTCTCAAAATTTCTTAATTTTTGTTTTATTCCCGTTAAATCCCATTATATTTAGGTTTACATTGTGTAAATATAATCTATATATATAAAGTTAACTTTTTCTCTCTTCTCCTTAAGCCACATCATCATCCATCTCATTTTATTATTTAATTTTTAAAATTAATTATACCATTTTATCATTTAATTATAATATTTAAACCTATGTGAATAAGTTTTATCAAAGTTTTTTCTATAAAGTCTTTATTTTATTTTCATATATGTTTATAAATTTGAAGTTTTTAAAAATAAGTAGATATTACTCGAGAAATTGTATATTATAAGTGAAAATATGCTGTATCGATATATAAGATAACATGCTGCAACGTAACATAACATGTTGTAAGCTCTTTAGTCACTCTTTGGCTAAATCACACGCAAATTAAAACGTAATAATAATTTTATATTCGATCCATTAATTACATATGTCGTTTATTTTTTTTTATATACAAGTTAAAAAAATTACTAAGTTTTTTGTTTACCTTCAATTAGTATAGTTTAGATTAAAAGATTTATTAGTTAATAGATCAAAACCAGTATTTTTTTAAAAGATCAAAAATATATTGATTAGCTCAAACGAACTAGTCAGGGAGAAAATGTTTACGTATGTGACATAAACCGGTTCAATATAATATTCTCTTACCATCTGTTTTTATATTTATACTACGACCGAGAAATAAGAGATAAAGAGAAAGATAAGAATGTTTCTTTACTGATCAATGAAATATATTATCAAACAAGTTGAACGTCTAGAACTATATATTTCAAAATGGAATGAGTTAATATTTTAAATGATATTACACCAATCAACTTTTTTTTTCCTTTTTTTTCGTTTCCTCAATTTTGTCTGTCCATATGATCTAAAAGCTATTTTAAAATCGAATTGCATATTTAATCGCTAACGTGACAATTTGTAGATAACATTTTTGCTTGGAAACTTATAGAAGGATTTTGTCTTCACGAAAATTTCCATGAATTATATTATTGGTTGATATTTGATTTAGACTCGTACAGTAGTTGTGGATCATGTCTTTTGTCAATAATTAATTAATTATGCCCTTATGTACTGAAATTATGTTACTACGTTTGCAATTGTGTTTTCTGTATTTGCTTTAGGTTAATGGATGCTTGCTAATGCTGAGACACAATTTGGATGAGGTCTGGATAAGAGAAACAAGTTTTGGGGATAGATTTGAATCAAATGGGATTTGATTTACATTGTTTGTTGTTCATGAGATTGAACTGTCTTATCACATTATCCTTTTGTTTTGGTTGGATAAAAAAGGCTAGTCAAACACAAGCTTTAATATAGTTTATATATCAATAGAAGTTTGGAGAAAAAGATGCATTGCAACATACCACAAACGCGATTACGGTGTGTCAAAGACACTTCTGAAACACTTTGAAGGATTTAACATTATTCACTTTGTTAAAAAAAGGGCAAAAAGGCTTTTTCATACCTCGAATATATCTATATGTTTGATTCATACATCAAGTATACCACTGTGCTGATTCATACCTCAACTATAAATTAATTCAAATTTACTACACATATTTATGGATTTGTGTGGAATCATACATAAGCTACCATGTGGCAAGAAACTATGAACTTTTGATGACGTGTACGACACATGTGATATGACGTGAATGCTAAGTCACAATTTTTGACAAACTTTTTTTTTTTCAATTTTCTAATAATAATTATTTTTAATGTTGACAAACCATTAAATTTTGATGACTAAAGGGTTTAAAATTATTTATTATTTGTTCAAGACTATGGTAAATTTTGTTATTATTGGCAGATTTAAATTATAAAAAATTCAGTTATGGAGTAAAAAGTTCAAATGTAAATAATCAATTTGCAATAAGATATTTAGGTTATTGTACAAATAATCTCTCAAAATCTTCAATTTTTGTAATTCTATCTTTTATCTCCAAGTCAAGTAGGTTTGAACTTCTCGTCGCAAAGGCTTCGATTTGATATATTATGCATAAAATATACAAACATGACATTAGTGAAAAATGGTTATATTGAGAATTTCTTTTAACTTCACATAATTGACTTATATTTTTTTTAGATTTGAAGAGTAAAGTTGTACAAAAATGTGATATGGATGGTTTATTTGCACTACCCATATATTTTTAAAAAAATATACATGAAAATTTGAGAACCACCACTCAACTCAGAGAGAGTGGTAATATGAGTACGGCGATCAAGAACTTCATTGAAAACCCAAACTCAATGGTGGTAGAATATATATTTAATTTTCTCATACAAAAGTTCGAATTTAATAAATGTAAATATATAAAAAGATAATTAGGAAAAATTATTTTTTAAAAATAAATAAATAAATAATATATATAAATGTTAACAAATTACATATCGATTTACGTGGGTATAATCTAATATATATACACACTTTTCATTAACATTCTAATCCATTGTCATATGGAATTTGATCTGACTATGTAATGTTCTTTAATCAATCTACTTTATTGAGTCCTTTTTGGCATTCTTGACTTTTACATATGAAAAAGTATTAGATTACTCAATAATGAAAACCATCCATTAATTCATCCCAAGAAGATATTAAATTTTCAGTATTGCATAATAATTAGAATTTAATTAAATTAAGTAGATTTTTTGTTAGACATCGATCTTTTAGTTAATTTGTATCTCATCATTTTGAGGATTTTATAGAACCAAAATGCGCTCACAAGCTGTAACCCCAACGCCATTGCCTATATATATAAGAACAAACAAAAAAATGAAATGTCATACATAGTTTTATAAAAACTATATTATATATCGAGTAATTTGATGAAACGATAACAAGTAATTAAGATATATAGATACCTTGATAAGTATGGGATTATCAGCTGATATTGTTACGTAAACTAGGTAAGGTCCACCTATCATTCTGGCCAACGAGAAGATTATCGCAAAACACGCCTACACCAACACAATTTTATATAAATTTTCAAGTTAAAAATCTCCACATTTAGAAATTTCCTCATCTCAACATTTCATTAATTAGCAATCTTATTTGATTAAGTAACCATCATGAGCAAAACTTGCAAGATTCGACAATGTGACCTTGGCTACACTAACATGATTTTATATAAATTTTCAAGTTAACATCTCATTAATTAGCACGCATATTTGATTGAGTAACCATAATTTGCAAAACTTGCAAGATTCGACAATGTGACCATGTTCATATAACCTAACTTGTTGGTTTAGATAACTATATTCCTAGACATGTACACGATAGTTCTCATTTCTTTCTTCCACATGCTAAGCCATACAAATACAATCTATAACAATTAACATCTTCAGATTGAGACTATCTAAAAGTTATATGACAAAAACTACTAATTATAATTCAGTAAAAATTATGTAAATACTTACATCGGCTGCAAGGTTTAGGTCGGTGTCTCTATAACCAATCTCTTTAAGAATCTCTCTAAGGTGAAGAAACGGACTCGATATCTCTGTT